TATTTTCAGAAGGTCGAGGCCTAATAGTCCATGAGCAAATCATTTCAGCACATTCCTTTTATTTTACTCTTGCCTACCTACATTCTTATATTTCTTAGTGATCAACTAAATTGACCCATTATCAGGAACATCCTGGAAGAGGCTGGGGTCATTCAGAAATAAAACTTAGCTAAATGGCATCAGATACCCTACCTCAAATAACAGCAAGAGTCATACATACACTTTACTCTTGTGACACTTTCAAAAACACCTTGGACTAAAACACTTCAGATGTAGTTGAGACAAAGTTTAATTCTCTCCTTCTTAAAGTGTGATGCCAGGCACATACTTTTCCAATTATTCAGTGAAATATTCTCCAAATTAAAGTTTTGTCAAGCTTATAAACTACTCTTAAAACCACAGTAATTAAAAATTACCTCATTGTTACCATGTTACAGTTCTGAACAACTCTTGTAACTGTGTAACAATAACAAAGGTGATTTGCTGGTCATTAATATTTGTCTCACACACTTCTGTAAATCGTTGGTACCCTATGAATGAGATCCTCCCAGATCTCTGTAGTAGTAGTCTTCTTTAGTGCTATACAACTATAGCAATATGCTTTTGCAGCTTTTTTTTTGTAGCTTATTTTTGAAATAGTTCCATTTCAGTCATCATATTTGCATGCTAATTAAAATATTCATGTAAGCATTTGTAGACTTACACACTCTATTTTTTAATGGAATTCCAAAGCAAATAAAAATYCCTTAAAGATAATAAGCTGAAACAACAAAATTCCATGGGTGGTAGAGAATTTAATACAGGCTATGATTTAGACCCAATTCTGAAAATTTCTTTCGCCCGCAACGATTTCTTAGAAAAGAATTGCACAGTATATTTGAATGCGTAAGAATCAATCTCATTCACTAGTACCAACAATTTGAAACTTATCCAGCACTATTTTTAAACCTTAAAAATGCTGACAGTACAAATAAACTTCTCAGTACTAGCCTTCACAAAAACAGACACCATTTTTTTCCATCGATTTCATGAATCCAGGACACAGACACACTTACAAACTAATAAGCATGTGCTCCCATTACCAATGACAATTAATTTGCTCAGATGTAAATTTAGGAAACAAAATTGATTTCCTCATCTAAAGCTATTAAAATACAAAAGTATATTATAAAACTACTGAAGCACAAAACTACGCTTTACAAATCAATAACAATATAAACACCAGTAAAAACAACAAATTAGAATTGGTATACCCTAGAAATATGGTAGTTCTTACATTATCAAATATTAGGCCATTTCAATTCTAAGCCTATTATGCCACAAATTATCTGATTTCCTGAGGAATACAGTTCTTTTAAGGCTTTCCATTTGGAAACACTGGAATCTGTTTAGTAGGAGAAGCTTTTTTATAAACTGTATATATCACATTCTACCCTCAGTTATTAAACTGTTCTCATGGCAGAGTCACAAAATACTTAGTACTTCATGGAAGGACTCATTCTAGAAAATGTGTGTAAAATACCATCATGAAAAAAAACAAAACATTTCTGGCTTTTATGTAATGAACAAGATTTTTTAAACTCACATGTTATTTCACATCTGCACTATATAGCAATTACAGACTCATTAAAAAAAAATGACTGGTTTTTGGCAAGCAGTTCCATATACACTTGATCTTAGCTTTATCTGGGTTAACAAGACTGAATTATGCAATGTCTCACAGAATCAACATATCAAAAGCAAGAAGCAAGAGCAGTATTTCTAATTATAATCACTTACATGTCATATTGTAGTTAACATTTAAAACTCATTCCTTATTGCATGAGTTGAAAAACTCATTCTTCCTTTCAACTCACTCTCCTTTAAAATACACAGTTCATAGGCAGTTCCTCCACTTCTTTYATTGTCATCTAACTAAAACTGCCAATTAATGTTTTGTTCTTTTTAGAATCAAAGAATCAAATTATCAGCTTCAGAGTGAACTGCATCCTGATAGCACCTCCTGTGAACAGGATTTTCCATTGGAAAGACTATTGTCTTCACCTGCCCAGCTTTGCAGAGCAGAAAGAGGAGCTGCTGGAACAACAGAAACCTTAGCAGACTCTCGCCCTGTAGCAGCCCCTCACGGATGAGCGACACGCGCAGTGTCTGCCGCTGCTAAACCCTGTCCCTGCCGCAACAGGTGCTGCTGGCAGAACCCGGGGTCTGGACAGAGAACAGCTCTGCAGCTCATACAGGATGCTTACAAAGGAATTACCACCTCAGAAACAGGGACAACAAACCTACCTGGACCCTGGGACATGAACATCGGCGTCTTCTGGATTCTGCCAGCTGCCTGCACACCCTCTGTCACTCACGATTATGCATTCCCGTCTCCTACTCCTCCCTCTGCCTGCGCAGCGTCCACCACTCTCCTCCCTCTCCTGACTGCTGCTGCCTTCCCACTGCTGTAGAGATAAAGGGGGTGGGATGGAAGAGGACAAAATTTTTCTAAAGCCCAGCAATTGCCACAGCACTGCTGCTCTGATACAGAGCCAGCCCCTCCAGCCACSGCCTCAGCAGGTCTTCCACTCAGCTTGGACTGCACTGTTGTATTACTGTGCACAGCAAAACTGGCAAGCTTTATTACTGGATTATGACAGATTTTGGATTCAAGCCCTCATTAGCACCAGAATATGCAGCTCATCTTAATTCACAGCTCTTCAGTGCTCTGGATGGAGAAACAATTCTCTGCTAGAGAAATAGTGTCCAATCCCAGATGAAATATTCCAGACTCAGCAATTTCTCCAGTTAATATCAAATCCATATTTAATGGTCACCACCATTCCAAGCACATCCAGAGCCACAGAGGGACAAAAAGGCAATATTCAGATCTTGTCACTGTTGGCCCCCAAACTTACAAATTCTCCCCTTTAATAGACAGTAAGTATCAAAACTTCTTATCCAATAAAGGATAGAAGGCATAAATAGAGACAAAACTATTCAGGACAAATTAAGACAGACTTTAGAACCTATACCTTTTGATGCCATTACCCTGGTCACTACATCAGTCTGTATTCGTCTGTGATGATTTGGGAATAATGGAAACAAACACGAAAGGGCAAAGAATATCCTAGATAATCATTAAATAGAAAAATTAGTTATTAAAAGGAGCACAGATCTCATGAAACATTTTTCTTATAAAAATTATGCTTTAAAGTAGAAAGTATTCCACCTAACAAGCCGTCCAGCCTAATGTAGAATCATAGCAGGACAGGATGAACTACCTCAGAGAGGTGCTGGACAAAGAGGTGCTCACTCCTCTAACAAAAGAGTGAGTCCAAATAGTTATCTCAAACGGTTATCTACCTTTTTTAGGTAAGAAGAATCTCTGGATTAACTCTATATACAGCTGGAGAAAAATGAATATTGATAAATAAAAATTTGCAGTATAACTGACCAAGGCATACATAATCTAATATGCAGACAGAAAAGAAGACATTGATAATGAGAAGAAACTCCAGCTCTTAAGAGTGAAGGATATACTGTGATGATTCCAAACATTATAAAAACCCTCTTTTTAAAAAATATTCAAGTGTACCTTTCTCTTCTAGAAAGCTATGCTGTGTATCTGAAAGGAATTTAGGTTATTCTGTAGGATAATCTGTTTTATATGTTTAATCACTTCTTGCAGCAGTTCACCTTGGTTTATGTCTGAACCTAHTTTTCAATCAATACTTTATTACACAGAATCCTCATGTACCAGCATCAGTGTACCCAGCAAAAAAAAAAAAAGAAAAAAAGAAAAAAAAAAAAAGAGCAAGAATAAGTCCTTCAAAGATCAATACTGTCAGTGCAGAATTTTATCAGTCAGAACTTAAAGTATGACCATACTGTTTTCCAATACCATACTGTTACTATATTTCAACCTCAAAATCTAAATCCTATAGTTTTTCCTCTCTGGATCAGCTGGAAGAAAGGATACTAGAGGTACATGATCTAGGGATCTGTGCTTCCTTTTGTAACACTTGAGCATGAAAGAGAGCTCCCACAGGATTTTGCCAGTGATGGTCCTCAAGCAGCTGGAAAGTTGATGGTGATTGACATCAGACACTCCACACACACTTTTAACAACTCATAATGCAGGCCACAGAGCASTCCCAACCCTCATAAATGTCAGAGACCAACAATCAAGACTGGTATTGGACCTACAACAGATCTGGCATTGCACACAACTATGCCTCCAGGTCAGCCTTAACTTCTCTTTTCAATAAAAGCAGTAAATAAGGTGTAATAAGTACAACCCTCAGTGCTTTGTTTGGCTATCCTTTGTTTTGAAATCACTAAAACTCTTTAAGTGAAAAATGGCTCTGCTGCTAGTAAGCCAGTACTGAAAGCACCAGAAATAGAAAAAATGGATTCCAGTTTGTTTGTTTGTTTTGAAACATTGTCTTTTCCTTTTATTGGCATCATCTGAAAGAAAACACCACAGAGGAAGGAGTTAGAAGAACCAAATCCCTGAGAAAGAACACATGACTTCAAGCAACAAGAAGAAAACACATTTAACAAAGGCTTTCAGGCACATGTATTTTCCCTTCTCTACATTTTTGTTCCTTTTAAGGAGGATTTTTGTGTTATATCAGTGCCATTTGAATTTCAGTAAGAGGTACTGAAATCTTAATCTACAAATATTAGAAACCAAAAATAAACATTATAATAAAATTTTTATTCATAAATGCCAGTAAAAAGGACCTTTGTTTTCACCTGCAACATCCAAGCCTCAGAATTTTGACTAAGCACTTATTTGGATGCAAGTACCAAACAAAGAGATTCTGAAAATTTTGAAATTTTGATCTTGAAAAAGTTTCAATATAGGTATATCTATCACCTTTTCTGGTACTTTTGCTGAAGGAGGCTCAACTACGCAGAATGAGGAACAAGAAGCATGTGCATAGTTCTTTCACAGGTCAATCCTTAATAATACATCAGACAAGTTGTTTTAATGTATTACTTACAAATAAATCTCTCCAATGAGATGCACTTCAAAAAAATGCAACATCTACCAGGTACAGGCAGATACTGAGTCTGATCTTGCTCCTTTCTTCACAGAGTAATCAACAAGATATAGATTATATACCTGCAAGAAATTCACTTGGTCTTAGTATTTAGCTGCTGGATTTGTTTGTTTGGTTTTTGTAAGTGGATTTTCTTTGAATGATGGACCAAGGTGTTCAGCATTTCTGCAAAACAGACAGTGCTTGAGATGACCATAAGCACTTATATTATTTCCTGCGCATGTTCAGCTGTAGCTTGACTTTCGATTGTGTACAGCTATTTGTTTATTTTGCTGATGTTCTTTCTTATTGCTTAGTGTGAATTACACTGGGGAGTACATCTAACTGGCAGTATTGAAAGAAACAGCAACCAGAACTACAGAATATGACTTTAACAGCACAGTCTTCAGGGAACTATGTTAAGTCAGGCTTCAAAAGATGGCAGAACTGACCAAGACTGATACCAAAGAGGTGTGCTCATCTCAGAGCTTGACCAGTCTGTACCAGCAGGCTTTTGACCTGCGATCTCATAGCACCTTAGGATCACATTTGAGTTGTCTCTCCTTCAAAATGTGAAATTAAGTTTCTGATCACTTTCTGATTGTTTTATCTGCACTCTCTGGAGACTCCTATCCAGCTACCTCATGCCAGAGAAATGCAAAAACACTGCCAAGTGTCATCTGATGCCAGGCACTTGCACTGCTTTTTTTTTGCCACATCTTTTTGTAGGGCTGGAAGAGCTTTAATATCCTAATCTTGATTTTACTTCATAGCTTCCTGGTGAATAAACAAACACATGCATGAAAGAGCAAAAATTAGACAAGTGCAGACAATACTAATAAACTGAGAAGATTGAAATACAAAATTTGAGTATTATGTTTCTGACTGAGTGGTTTATGACAGAGTGGTTCATGTGCAGTTGTAGGTAAATTCAGATTTTGATCTTCTATTTTTTGGAAATGTCCAGGATTTAAGAAAATGAACAATGAGAACTTTTAAGCAGATTATGCTTTTTCTCAACGGACAAACAATTACCTGTTTATGCTTCCTACGATCAGTTTGGTAAAGGTTAACCTTTTCATGCAACTCCTTAYTTGTATACAGATAAAGCATGTTGATGTTAACATTTTAAAAAAGCTTTTAACGGAAAAAATTGAAGTATTCTTGTTATTAGGAAAAGGTAAATGGTTCCTAGCATCCAGTTATTAAAGGCTGCTATATTTTAACATTATAGCAGAAGCACTATTCATACAACCATAAATTTTTGATTAATGAATTTAAATTCTCATTTGACAAGACTTCCACAATAAGTGAAATGGCTTTTTAAAAAAAGTTAATTTAAATACATAAAAGTGAACCAAAAATGAACAATTAATGAGAAAGTAACTGTTTTGCTTCAATTTACTGCATCTGACATTTGGGTGATCAAGCTCTATCATGCCATTTTGACAGAACTTAGGTCATTTTGTGCCACTCTAACGACGTAAGAAGAATGCTATCTTGGAAGGGCTGGTTTGGTCTTACAGTGTTACGTAGCTGCTTTCAAACCAAACTGGATGCTTACTGGCTTGTGTGCCACATGGAGAATTTATCAAGAATGGTCTGCCTGCTCCTCTAATGCACTTATTGTTGCTAAACAAAATTGCAGTCTTGTTTCTTCAAATCAAGTGTGTTCAGCTCTTCATTGCCACATGTCACTTACAGTGTATAATCTATTCAGCAAATCAGAAGTTTTCTCATAACATATCCATCAAAACACACAACTTCTGCACGTGTCAAGCACTAGACTACAAATTCAAAAAGAATGGTTACCAAAAAYGCATGTTTCTGAAGGTAAGACATAACAAAAATATTAAAACCTCTCCATAATCGCTTGCATCTAATTTGCTCTTAATTTCGAAGTCCTCAAAAACTATTTAAATATAAAAAAAACTTTCCAGAGGCTGCATACAACTTGAGTTCACAATTCACAGTTAGGCATTTTTTTGCTTCCTTTCAAATGAGGGAAGAAACTACTCAGAAATACAAAAACCTCCACGTTTTAAGTGAAACATTGAAATATTTTCTCACTAGTTGATTACTTTCCCCACTCAAGATCAAAACCAAATTACTTTAGTAAATGTGAAATTAAGTACTTAATTACTTTAAGTACTTTAAAAAAAATACAAACTTTCAGTGGAAAGCTTTAAGACCAGGATTTGTGACTCAGAAGTAACTATCTTCCATGTTTATGAATTTATCTTCCTGGATGTGTCAAATCTGGCATTCATCCTTGCTGTACTATTGCATCTACAAAGAAACGCTAAAAAAATTAGGCATTTTGGTGCTGAGATGGTGCTTCTGAGGACTGTCAAGCATGCAGAGCAGAAAACTGCTAAACAGTGCTAATACAGCAGATAGCATGCTCACTTTGGACTTGGTCTGCAAGGGAAAAAAAGTAACCATTGTCAGAATATCTGCTTTTAGCTTCATTTACACTTCGTGCTTTGAAGACCTTCAGGATTCCCTTCTATTAACACAATGCTTGATCTGCAACATTCTAAGTCTTATTTCTAATGAAATAACTATTTTCTATTGTTTTTCTAAAATATTACGTATTTATAATATTAGTCTTCCCTGAGACCTGAAATTTGAGTACCTTAGATGCAAGCAAATTGAAAACCAAGCCACTTAATTATGTTTATACTGCGAAGCATCCTAAAACAACTGCATATAAAAGTTATACACAGTTTGTTGTTATCTTGGTATTGCAGAAGCCACATTGATGCCGTAACACCACTTGATCTACAAATACTCCTAGAAAACATAAGTAACATGAAACAGATTTTCACATGATCCTTTAATTTATGACATTCTAAATCAAAACAGAGGTTGTTCACACAATAAATAAGAACAATCCATGGGAAAGTGGTATATGAAGGAGAAACTACTGCAATGAATATGTAGGGCACAGAGTATAAAATAATAAACCCCATATTGTTTAAAATCTGTATAAGATCAGCTAACTTGATCTTTTAAAGTTGTTTCCAGTTTATGCWCACCATGTGTGAAACTTCCCTGTGGCTTGTTATGTTACTTCAATGGCAGAGGGAGGAAACCAGCAAAGCTCAGTAACCATACTGCATAGCACAACGTAACCATGGAAGCATTTGTCCACTTGTCAGAGCCTCTCCAAAACAACTCAGCCATTCATTTCATTGAATCAATATTGAAGCTTTTAAGATTTATTACTGAGGGAGGAGGAAAACTAATAAAACAAAGTCCTTGTTGCTTCCCATTTAATACAACTTGTCAGAGTAGGCATATTAATTCCCTGTAAACACTTTACTGATGCTGTGTGGGCTATGCTACTGTCCCTCCTGACGAAGATTACTAGTAATGCGTTTGCATTCACATGCCTGATACTCATTGAAAGAACTTAAAGGTTTCTGACATGTTCTGTGGTTCTGTATAGAAGCTGAATCAAATAGAAAGACAAAAGTAGGAAGAAAACAAGGRTGGGAGGAAACTATTTTAAAATTAATGAAAATTCCCCCTTCAAAGAGTCTGTTTCTACTAGATCATTCTCTTATTTAGGCCATAAACTGAACATTTGTAATTATATGTTAAATGATTAAAAAAGTTGAATGATTTATTTTACAAGTACTTTCATATTTATTAAAATACGCTATAGTTATCTCAAAATGATGGAGGCAAAATTGAAACAAACATGTTTTGTATGAAAAACAACCATTTCTTAAGCTGTATACTGATAAGTATTCCACATTACAAATAGCTATATATATTTTCATTGTAATGAATTTTACACTGAAAATTTGAAAGCAAGCAAAATGTTTACAGCTAGACTATTATTACTTATTACTAATATCAGGAGCAGAAAGTATTAATCCAACAGTTTTATTTACACTTGCATGCCTTTAAAGGTGAAAATTGAAGGCATCTTAAACACAAAGTTCAAGTATTTCACAACATAGCAGGCTGCGCATGCCACACTTGCTTCTATATCAAAGATTTTTATGACTGCAAACCAATGAGCCAGAACCCCTGGTCTGGCTCCCACTGCCTTCAATTATTCCACTCTCCCTATGATAAAAAGCTGCTCAGCATATACCACTTTTCCAGCTAGGAGGAGCTTAAAACAAAGGATGAACATAATGCTAGGATATTTCAGAGAACTTATTTGCCTATARGCCTCTGTTCACATGGTAAGAACAGTAGAAGGGTAGAAGAGGCAGCTGCATAGCTGACAGGATTGCRGGGGTATCCAGGCCAGTATGGAGGCACTTTCCCACACAGTGGAATGACATCAAAGGACTRTTTTCCAGAGAAAGTTTTTTGCAGCTGTAGCTGCAGGTAGAAATGCATCAACACAGAATACATCCACTGTAGAAAGTTGTAAGCCAGTGAACTTGTGAGGAAAGTCAGTATAATAAACATATAACCTTATTCACATAGCCATGACACCATTAAGGGTGAATTATCCATATCAATGAGGCCAAAGGAAGCTTCTGCCACAGCTGAAATGATAATGGTTAAAAAATACCATGTAACATTCAACTCCCTCCTGTGGGGATAAAAACTATCAAAATCCTTAAACTTTTAATTTCCAAAACTAAGAATAGTTTTCTTGAATGACAAAAAGCCAGTATTGTAAATGCAAGTTTGAATAAGCACACATCTTGGTGCAACAGCATAGTAAAAATTAAARAAAAATAAAAAATAAACACAGGTTATGATAAAGGGAACCAGAGAGTAGTCACTTTAAATTATAGTATATAAATTCTAGAAGATTAAAGATAGAAAGGAAAGTCACTATGTTGGCAAGACAAGGACAAGTTTAATAACCATATTTTAAATGTCTGTAACAATCACAAAGAGATAAAAAAAAGTTGATACTGACAGCAAAATTAGCCAAAAGAATGTACTTATAAAGGTTTATGTGGGAGTTTACTTATATGCCAATAAAAGAAACTGATGGAGTAAATAATCCATTTTTGATTTTTAAGGAGGTAAATAAATTAATGAAGAATATAATATCTTATGCAAATTGTGCAATTTGGTTTAATTCTGAAAGATTATAATTAGAATAAGAGTAAGTGTACTGGTATGAATAGTTGGAGGACTTACTTTTTAGTTACATAACCATGTGGTAAAAATACAATGCAATGCCAGTAAGCAGTGCAATGCTGTTTAAATGGATTGAAAAACAGCTGGTCGATCTTAAAAAACATTCTACAGTAAGAGGTTATGAAAAAAATATATGTCTATGGCAGAGTAGTAGCGAGAAGACTCTCTCAGTAAGGTATAAGAAATACGACACTGATCATGTGGATGACTAGATTTATTGCTAAGAATCATCTAAAATTTTGTCAATGCAGCATACAACATAAGCAGGTCTAAAGGGTTATAATATCGGCACGCTCAATAGCATACAGGTTTACGGGCTTTGGCCTTACGGAATGCACAATGACAAAGCAGTACAGTATCTATGGAGCTACTTTAGGATTTTATYTTCATATGAGACCGGATCTTACTGATTTTACTCATCCATCCAAAAGTGAGTGTTCCCTTCCTTCGGGCTAGAAGYACCCTGCAGGCATCCCTGCCAGTGGGATATCCACACAGAAGCTGCCTGAAACCTCGATGTGGGCCCCACTGGCCCAGACTCCAGCAGTACCTTATTCCCTTTTGTAGGATGATGTGTACCAAAGACATTTGCAACCATCTGAGCTCTCCCATTCCTCTTGCAATTTCTACCTGGTGTGGCTCTTAGGACCAATCACACTGCCCATCAGAGACAACTGCAAGACGGGAAGATGTAAAGAACTATCTTTTGTTGGTTCAAATGAAGAAATGAAAGTATTTATATTATGTAGGTCAACAAATATTAACAACAGATCTCCTCAACACTCTCTCCCTGTAAACACAAAACTCAAAACTAGATGTTTGTGATGTCAATGTTAGTGGAAAGGAAATAAGAGTATTACAGTGATACAGCTCACCTGATAAGCTGGTTCTACTAAAACATGTCACATCAGCACTGCTGGAAACCTTCAAAGCTAAAATATAGGTCTTCTGAATAATTTTCATCTGAAGAAACTCAAGCAGAGAAGCAGTTCACCACAAGTGTCCAGTGTGATTCTGTGACTGGGAAAGGGAAAAAAAACAACAAGCGTCATCTTCAGACACATTAACAGCAGATTAGTGACAAGTAATTGAAATGGTGGAATTACTTTTATATATCGCATTAATTGGGTGGATATTTGAAATTGCATAAATACTGGTGTCTGCATTTTAAAAACAATGCTGAAACCCACAGAGGATCTAAATAAATCAAATTCCCCAAAACCAAGACCTAGAAAAAGCAAAGAAATAAGTTAAAAGCAAAGAACAAATTCTAAATGCTTTATTAACTAAAAACATTTGAGATAAAGACCTGAGGACAGTGCAAATATTCCCTTAGAATAAAAACAAGATAAATACTGAAAGGTTTCCTTACTTTACTCAGGGAAAACATATGAAATAGTAACAGTTATTGATGGACTTTTATTACAGAGTCATCCAGCAAAAAGTGGAAAGAATCTGTGATAATCTTTAAAGCAAGCAAACAAAAGCCCAAAACCAACCAACCAACCATAAAACCCAAGAAAAACCCAAACAACCAAAAAAATGAAACCAAAAACAAACAAAAAAAACACACAAAATAAAACAAAGAAACAAACAAAAAAACCAAAACAAAAAAAAAACCTAAAAAACAATAACACCCCCCCAAAAAAAAAGTCAATTACACTACCGAAACACTTATTCATCAATAGATAGGAATTCAAAATCTTGTAAGAAAATCCATCAGAGAACAATTTGAAAAAATTTTTAAAAATACAGAATTTTCTTAAAAAATCGATCTCTGAACRATTTGGAAGAAATTTTTAAGAAACTATACTACATTTTTGCACACCAGTTTTTATCGGGTCCCTGGTAGATTTTCCTATTCAGAAAGTAATTGAGCAGTAAATCAGAAGCAAATATGCAGTTTTTTACAGTATTTTGAAAATATCAAACAACCAATGCACCCTACTGGCTGCACTGTGGAAGGCACACTGTATATTTCTATTACGGATACAGATTAAAGTAATAAAGTTAATTTAAGAAGTTACTGATTCTTGTGAAGTAACCAAAGGGAAATAGCAAATATGCAAAATAGGGAAAATACAGTCTCAATCCAATGATAWTTTTTCATTTATTGTCATTCAAACCATAACAACAGTAAATGAAACAATTAAATTTTTTAACCCATTTTTATTACTGGTACCTTACTAAGTAAAAACTATTTCTGTTAGTTTTGAGGATCAATACTTGGCTTAAAGATATTAAAGGTCTTTTCAAACCTAAAAGATTCTTTGATTACAGTTAAATGTACACATGCAAATATTTCCACTAGAGAACAGACTACACAGTGTCTGTACATTCAGCATTATTTGCTTCTTGCAAACTTTTTACAGAGATCTTTAAAAAGTCCTCTTACTGCATCTTCCAGTCACAAACTTCTTCTGGTCCTCAATGGAGCTGCAGATTGACCTTGACATTACTATTTTCTACAATTTTATTACCATTCCAAATTACCAAACAGGGATGCAGAGACACACAAAGCCTGTATATTTATTTCTGTGTGCATCTGTTAGTGAGTCATAATTTATCATGCAAGCAATTAAAACATATATTTAGGAACTTGACACTAGCTACCTAATGTAAGTCTAGCTTGGTGGTCCCAAATCACAGAATGACTTACAAAAACAGTCGTGGCATACGACATGTAGGTAACTTAAAGATGGAAAGAATATATTTGGGATTTTTTTGAATTAAAAATTACTAAAAAGTAATACCAACCCTTCTACATCTCCCCTACAATTCCTTTCTATTGATTTCTTAAGTTCTAATATTTCTATGTGTATATAGAAACTAACTTCCCAGCTTGGCTCAGGCCACACAAAAAAAATAACATGACCAAGGAGAATATGGTACAGATCCATGAAGTTGCTGTTGGAATGCCATGGTGCGACTAACACTGACCCTGCTGCTCATTGAGAATGCACTATTAGGATATGCAAAGTAACTTACATGGGAATGGAGAAAGGCTGTATTCCTATTAGCATTCATGGGAGCTATGCAGTTCCAGTCTTGCTCATCAAGTTTGTAATATACCCTTTTGTTATCGATGGGAAAATGTCACCAGTTACAAATGGTTACACACAGGGGTGTAGCAAGGTCAAGGCAAACTCCAATACTTTCTCTCCCCTTCTATGGCAGAGTGCTGCTTCAGCAGCTCTTTTTTGACCTGATGGTACACCTCTTTAGAAAAAAGAAATGGTGAAATTCCCTGTCCTGATCTTTACTGCAACCTCACCACCCAAAGATTGAAGAAAACTTCCAAAGGATATGCCATTAGTGGTGTATGATGGGACAATCATTAGATACCACTGTAGGCATTGCTGTGTGTGAAGTCTGACTTCAAACTCCTCTTCAGATCCACCCACAGCTCTGATGAGTCTCATAAAACAGTCTTTCAAAAGCATAAATAGGGTTTGAGTCATCAAGTTTCCCAGCTACAGACAACTACAGTTGCTTCACTTCTCTTACTGAAAGCTTCTTTAAAAAACAAAATAAAACTTGGTGCTACAAACATTCCTTGCCAGATATGGTACGACACCTTTAATGGAATTCTAAATCACCAAGTTAAAATCAATTTTCTTCAACTTGAGATCCCACAAGAAAACTTTGGATCTATGGGTAATCAATGCAATTTTGTCACTTTCAATATTGCTCTTTCTGGAAATAGAGTTGTGGAAGATTCATTCTACTTGCATTTGGCATCCCCAGAAACACATAAAATAATTCTGGGACTACAGATATGTTCACACATTTGTCATGTAATCTGACAATCCACGCTTATCTTTGTTGTATTATCAGCTTCTATGTGAGGCTTTATCTAAGTCTTCAGTGCAGCTATATTAATCAGCATAAGCTGTGCTTCTGACCCATGATAAAAATAGAAGGCTTATTTCTGAGCAGGCTTTGTTTGGCAAGATGCTATGGAAGAAAAGAAATTGCCTAAGAGAAAACACAGTGTTCACAGTTAATTACACATGAAACACTCAGCAAGGAAAATGTTATGGGGATCCAAGTGTCAAGAAAATATCCCTAGCTAGGTCACTAAATGGCGTAGAAATTGTCCTAACTTGTAAGAAACTTTGGTTTGAGGAAATTCTAACTACACTTGCTATTCACTGGACTACTTCAACAAATGCAGAATAGGAAAGCCTGAAAACTAGCTTCTACTAAGAAGGCCCAACTTCCTGATGAATTAAATTACATTTAAATGCTAGTAGTATTCAATGCTTCTTCACCATAGGGCACTGATCAGACCTGCCTGAAATGGCCAGCTTTCTATTTTATGCTGACTTCTGTATCTGCAAATATTTCAATTCTTTCACGCAAGCCTCTATGCTTTCAAAAGAAATTTATTTCTTTTATTGTTGATGTTGTTTGGTTGGGAGTGCATAAATAGTCTTAGGAATTCTTTTATTTTAACTGATCCACCCCTCATCCACAATAGAATACCATTTAAAGGTAGATGCATGTGTGATTTAAAGGTGTATGCATGTGTGCATATATATATGTATGTATGTTTACTCTTYAAAATAGCTGAGACACAAGCACCTTCAGAGTTTATTTTCCAATACCTAGATATGAGGCTTCAGTTGAGCTTCTGTGGATATGAACATGACACTTCATAGAGCAACACAACTGTTAGATCATTTTTTTATGCCTTCAGACTCAAGTAATGTATTTTTCAGAAGCCAGGCCACAAAAAATCTGTCTTTGCTAATACTAAACACATTTCTAACCACCTTGGTTGTTYAGGAAAGCCTGGAAAACATGTATAACAAGGCTCAAAAACAAAAGAAAAAAAAACCACACCTCACTTAAGATTAACCTACTTAGGAATCAGACTTGCAAACACATTTGTCTTCTGCAATTTTTTTACCGCATATTTAGCCTAACCTTAGAGCCATCAGTTTTTTCAAGGAATACTGTTCTTGCTCCTGCTGTAATCAAAATTCTAAGGTGTGTCAGGAAAAACTCACACTAGATTATACCTGCCTATTGCCTTAGCACCCCAAAAGCTGCTGACAGTCCTTCAGAGCAAAAATTATTTCTCTAGGGAAGAAAAGTTGAAATATCTACAGGGTGTAATTTATGGTACCTCTCTTTGGAGAAAGACCTGTCAGTGTGGGTTCCACTCCTATACCTCTAAAGTACTGATCCTGAGGAGACAGGTGCGAAGGGATATACAGAAACGGCCTGGCAACTTCTCAGGGCGCAGCAAGGCGGTAAAAGCCAGGCAGGACTAAGAAGTACAGGATGTGGAAAGGAGCTGCGAACGCTAACATACACAAAAGGGTATCATACGAACCCTCTTACTGACCCAAACACATGGTAACTTCCTTTCGACTAGCCTCCATTTCTCAAGGAGGATCAGCGACAGCGATCACAAGTTCTTCTTTTTAGAAGAAAATCCCATAGGAAGGATGGCACACGGGCGGTTCGAGGGGAAGGCGGAGGGCGAAGCGCTTCCTCACCCGGCAGCGCCGGCCCGCGGCCCCACGCTCCGGCCTCCAGCGCCGAGCGGCTCAGCCACAGCGCTCCCTGGGCCGCGGCAGARCGGCGAGGGTGGTGCGGGGGCGGAGCAGCGCCGGACCGGATCAGCACAGCGCCGGTGCCGGTGCGGCGCGGCCGGGACGCACTGTACCGCGGGGCAGCTCCCCCAGCTCCTCACAGCCGAGCCCCGGGGCCGCCTCCCGCCGTCCCCCCCCCGCCCCTCCCCGCCCCCGGGATTGCGCGCGGCCGGGGCCGGGGCCGGGGCGTGGCGGCACTGTGGACGTGGCGGCGCGGCCGCCATCGCGGCGTGTCGCATGCAGAGCGGGGACAGGTAGGGCAACGGCCCGGGGCGGAGCAGGGCGGCGGCACCGGCGCCGGGTCGGGCCGGGCCGGACCGGATCGGGCAGGACAGGGCAGGGCACTACTCTCTCCTCCCCGCGGCGGCGGGGCCGGTGGTTGCTGCGCCAGGAGGGAGCTAGGAGGAGGCGAGGAGGAGGGGCCGGCGTCGCTCCACGCCTGCGGTCTGCTTCACAGGGTCACCCGCGGAGCATGGCCGGCAGAGGCGCCGGCAGTAGCCCGCAGCCGCCCGCCGTGGCTGAGCCGCCTGCCGCCGGTCACCTGTACCCCTTCGTGATCGCGGACAGCGAGGGGCCCGAGGAGGAGGGCGAGATGTCGGAGCTGCGGTCGCGTGGCAGGGAGAAGGTCCGGCGGAGCGCGTCGAGGGACAGACTGGATGATATCGTCCTGCTGACGAAGGACATCCGGGAAGGGGACACRCTGAACGCGATCGCGCTGCAGTTCTGCTGCTCGGTAAGTGCCKGGGCAGCGCGGGCCCCGCTGGTCCCGGCCCGGCTGCTGGCGGAGGCAGCGCGTGGGAACGTCGAGCTCTCACAAGTGGAAAATGACGTCAGGGTGTTTGTGTTACAGCACAGGGTTCCGGTTCCGTGGGCTTTTCCCCTTAACACTAATGCGAGAAATACAAGTGCATAGCTTTGGTTGTGGTACTCGCTCAGAGTCTGTATGTTACGCTCAAAGCTATGCTCCAGTACATGCACGTCGGCACTTCTAGTGCCATACTCGCTTTTAGGCTGCGTGATGATGGGGGTGTTGGTGAACTGTCTGAAGGGTGTGTGTGGAGCCCTAATTCCATTAAAGTAGAAGCAAAAAATCCTCTGTATTTTTCTTTCGAATAATGCTAAATTACCCTAATGTTTTAAGCATGACTGTGCTGTACTTGGGAGCTTTCCACCCCTGTGCCCGCTTCTTTGTGCTCACTACTTCTAGCTCAATTCTTATATTAGACTGGTGAATGTCCTGCCTACCTACTAATTTTGGCTGGCCAGTAGTGATTAAGGCAGTGGCACTCGTCTTGGTTGTTGTTTCCAGTTTTAACAGGAAATCGTTTCTGTGTGTTGTGGGACTGACTGCTAAGTGCACAGGTGCTATAAGGTCAAGATCAAAATCTGTATTGATTTTCAGCGAATGAAATACGCTGTCATTTCATTCATCAGGCAGAAACAGGATTGGGGGCTATTTCCTAATTATGACAGACCTTAGCCTGGCTTCAGACAGGCCAAGTCTTGACTTCAGAACCTACTGCAATTAGGTATTTTGAGCAGGTTTACTAGGTCAGGCCTCAGTAAGAAAGGAAGGATTACTGAGTTGTGCTATTCCTTGCAAATTCAACAGAATGCAGAAGACCAATCCAAAGGCCTTTGGCAGAAAGTATAACTTGCTCTGTGGTGGAATCATAAATTGCTGGGGTAAATACTTCATTTGGCAGTCTTTTAATCTCATCTAATTTATTCAGCAATTCATTATTGTTATCATACATGTAACGAATACACTGTTGTAGGAACTGAAAGAGTTCTTCACTTTAAAAGGTTYGTGTGAACTTGGGTACAGTGCATCATAAAATGGGTACAATTCCTGTGTGCTGCACAGATGTTGCAGAAAAGCACTGATTTATAAGTAGTTCATTACGGTGAGGTTTGCGGCTGTTCTTTCTATAGTGAAGGAGTTGCCATCTGAGAATGAGGCCAGTGATCATCTAAGGGCACTTAAATTATGTTTCACATTAGAGTTAAAATCTGAATTTATTGCGAGCAAAAAGGGATTCATTTTGAGCAAGAATAGGGAAAGGGGAAAGCTGACTTTGGTAAGGTAGATGACAATTTAAAAGTGACATTTGGTTTCTTCYTTAGCCCCCAGAAGCAGCAAAAAACACACCTATGGCTAGATGAGTTGCAGAGTCAAAATTTTTAATAAACTTGCTCAGAAGTATTCCATTGACTTACAATCCCAGAGTAATTTACATAATTTTAAAAGAGTGGGGTAAAGTCTCATTTGCTTCACAGAGTTAGTTGCCAGCTGATAGTTGACTATACGTTTAAGTAAATATATCTATGTGACATGACTTTCCATTTTCTGACCTGAAGTGAGGAGTTTTTTACCTCATAATCAATTTCCTTCTTGCTATAAAGTTGTTGATATTTAGTCTTTGACCTCTTTTGACTTCTTATTGTATGAATGGTATGTATTGTTTTGTTTTGTTTTGTTTTGTTTTGTTTTGTTTTGTTTTTTAAGTTAATGGTAATATAAATCAAAGTCCTTGCCTTAGACTTAAAATCTGAACTTAAGTTGAGCAAAACAAGATTCCTTTTGAGCAAGAATATGGAGAAGGAGAGCTGACTTGGGTAGGCTTTGCCTTTGTTTCCTTACAAAAGGCATGTGTTTCTTAAGGATGTAATAGTATTAAGACAGTTTTTGGTTCAATGAAGTATGATGTTTTAGCTGTTGTTTTCATTTTTAGGTTGCAGATATCAAGAGAGTTAACAATCTTATCAACGATCAAGATTTTTTTGCCCTGAGGTCTATCAAAATTCCAGTGAAAAAGTTCAGTGTATTGACTGAAACTCACATCTCTCCAAAAGGAAGACCAGCTCTTCGGCCTGCTCTGTGTTCCCCAGAAGTACAGGAAACATCTCTTTGTGATAAATTCTCAGCTAATGAGACTGCTGGCAACTTCTTAAAAGAAGTGGATCGAGATATAGAAGAAATAGTGAAGTGTAATGATACAAAGAGAGAGAATCTGAATGAAGTTGTTTCTGCTTTAGCCGCCCAACAGATCTGTTTTGAAACTGATGGTAAAATTCAAAAATGCAAGGATCCTTACTATGGAGCAGACTGGGGTATAGGATGGTGGACAGCAGTAGTGATTATGTTGATTATTGGCATAGTTACTCCAGTTTTTTATCTCCTGTATTATGAAGTTCTAGTGAAAGCAGATGTCAGTCACCATTCTGCAATGGACTCTTCCCATTTACTTGTCACAGCAGTATCACATCAGAAAGAAACAGGAAATTGAATAAACCAAGCGAAAATGGAATAAATCCAGTGAATATTATAAAAGTTGATAATCAAGGACACCTTCAGCATTAACAGTGGAAGACCCCAGACTGTAATTTGTAGATGCATAGCATAACGTTAGGTAAAGGGGAAACCACAGAATGCAAAATGCACTTGGAAAACAGAGAAAAAGTGTAMTGATATGTGACTTGCCTTAATGGGCAGTGTTCCACTACAAGGATGTTTCTGGGGGTCACATAATCTCTGAATAAGCCTGAGACAGGCAATTTGCAAGATTGGGGTATATTAAATTAAGGTATAAAGTCATTCTGAAGCTTTGCACTTTTTTTTTTTATTTTGATAGCACATTTCTTAATTAATGATGAGGAGAAAAATTGCAGTCTGAACTAACCCACAAGTTATCTCACTGTGAGTGCATTTTACAGCCCAGAAATGGGCATATGGGGATATCTTTTAAGCATCTGAAAGTAGGTTTACATTTGTAAATTAAAGTGATGTTATCTTTCTTATAGAGCAAGATTTTTTTAAAAAATAATTCTGTAATTAATTGCCACTATGAATTCCTTTTTTACAACTGACTGTTGTAGAGGCAGTAGCTAATACTTAAGCTGGAATCTTGAAATCTTGTGCCTATGGTCAACCCATTTTTTCTTACTTTGCAGTATAGGCAATAGGATAATTTGTTCTCTCTGCATGACTCTGTGCCTCAACACAGTCCAGCTCAGAGTCTTCCTGAAACTTTACATTCTTCCTTGGTATCCTACTGAAAACTGACACGACTGCGTTCTCATCTGGTCCCCTGTGAATGGAAGCAGTGCTGAAGTGTGGCACCTTGTTGTGACTGCCCCAGTAGTCTTTATTTTATGCTAATAGATTTATTTTTTCCCATTCAGTTCATCTCAGTTCAGGGCCAACTGATTCTTCAGACAGCAGTTATGTGAGTACTGAGCCTGCTAATGGTCTTATGCCCATGAACCTTAATAACTTAACTTTTTCCTGAAATGTCTTAGAAAACTTGGAATTATATTTAATGTCTGCCATCCAATTGCTACAGAATAGAGAAGGTACAGCTTCAGACTTGTTTTTGACATAGTAGCATATTCATTAACTACTCTGCCCTTAAATGTTTCCCTTGGAGTTTCATGATCAGCCTTGGTTTTCCCCTCTTTTTCTTCTCTATGTGAAAATGCTACAAGATGAAAAGTGAAAAAACTTCTTATCTCTGGACTCTTCATACTGAAAGGATGTATTTTTGTACTGAGAATACTTTTWAAATAAAAACTGAGGTGGTGCCCTGAACTTTTTTTTGTTACATTTGCCTTGCAGAGTAAGAATTCCATTGCCCTGTTCAAAATGCTATTTATTAGCAAAACCCAAGATAGCAGACTTGATGAGGACTTACAAACAGTCAGTATCCTTTAAACTACTATTGTACCTTTTCCAATGAGTGTCTTGACTAAGTATATACAGTATTAAAAATCAGGGAAAGTGAATGTTTTCTAACTATTGAGGTATTCCAAAGTGATTCTCACATTCTGAGAGTAAAGACTTAGGCCCCAAGAAGTGGGGCAGATAGTCTTCACTGGCATGCCAAGAGTATGAACAAGAATTAGTTAACTTGTATTATGCTGAAATTGAGGAAGGCCAAAGCCTGAAGGGAAGTGGTGTACAGTAATATGTGAACTATGGTTGATGGCTATTGAACCATTTGATTAAAAGGGCATCTATGGAGAAAATGAGCCTACTCATAGTGTTCACACTAGAAAAGAGATTACAAACAGGCATGAACTTAATGGTTTGCATTACACTTGTTTTCAAAGATCTTTTAAAATAATAGTTCTTTTCATTAAGAGAATATGCCAATAAGACAGGCATACTGAGGTACTGAGAGAAACACTGATGTAGCAGTTCTAGTGCTATATGAAAAAATACTCTGCAGAATAATTTATGGGGGCTAAAGTGATAAGCTTCTATGGTTACAACTTTCAAAGGTGACTCACTTAGATAAGGAAGCTTCGCCCATGAAGGCAAATGTTTTCTGCATAGGATGAGACTTGGTATATAATGTGTCAGGTTTTTGCTGCAAGCCTGTTATTTGGCTTGCTGCTTCCTCCATCATGCTGTTGCTGAAATTCAAAAGTTCTTATACTTTATCCATCTATTTCTTACGATTTGTCAAAGAACATTAAACTAGGTATTGTGATGATGCAGCATTAGCCTAATTTACAGCACCTACTGAACTGATGGTTATTAAATTGCCACTGATGTAGAAGGGAAAGTAACTTCAGTTGTGGTTTGCCTAGGTCAGGATGATTACCTTATGATTTAGCTTAGGATAAACATTCATTGGAAAAACATGAAGGGACAGCTGTTTTATTGGACCATATTCCATTCTAACCATGAGTCTGGCATGTCTTTACATATTTACTATGTAGCATATTTTATACAGTGCATCTTTGATTAAAAAGTTAGCTTTATCAGAAGATGCAGTAGATCACTTTGCAAGACTGTTAGGACTCCTGGTCCTGGTAATCTACAACCACCAGCTTGTTTGGCTCTCTGCAGCATGCAGGGATCTTAACAGGTCGTTTCCTTTTTGCAAAGTACCACGCAACTGGTCACATGTCAGCCCTRAATAAACAGTGTAACTGCTCTGGGGAACTTAAATCTGATTTAAGTTAAAATCTCTGAARTAAGTCTTTTAGAAATTTACTTGGTTAAACAAACAAAAAATACAAAAGACAAACAAAAGAWATCCCCAAAATAAATGCCCAAAGAACCCCAAAACACAGATTAATTGAGTTGTAAATCACCTTTTGGATTAATTGCTACACCTTGGTCAGGAGGTGGGTTTTAAATTTACGTGCATATTACACTGTTGGTTCATATAAAATCTAAATGTTTTGCATCTGGATACTTTGGAGTAATCTGGGATACTTTGGAGTGAGTTCTCACAAATAGTCTTTGTGTAACTTTYATAAAGTCTGAAAATTTTTGAGTGAGGATGCAAGTCTTATGTTAAATACTGCTGCTTCTCTGCTTTTAGAAGAACGCAGGTAGTATATGTAAAATAAATATTTTAGACTGCGGTGAAAGTGGTGCWTATAATAGATTCTTAGTTCTGCATACACTGCAGGCCACTGATTGTATTTATTTAGGCCTACTTCTATATATGATCTAAAACGAATATCCTTGGTCAGCAAGAGCTTTGTTGGCAGTAGCTGCATACAGTATTCATATCTAGCAGACCATAAATGCTGCCTTAATGGTTTGTCCTGTTCACGCCTTGTAAACTTTGAACTTTACTGTATAAATTTCTGAGCATTTGTTACTTCTCAGAAATAGGTATGAACAACTAAGGGAGGGATCAGTAAAGTTCTTAAATGGTAATATGACTACACCCTGAAAGCAGTATTTTTCTTCTATGCTATAAATACAGGATTTTGACTATATGTCCAAATTTGAAATTCGTTGAAAACCAAAGAACAGTTGGATGTTTTATTATCATTATGGTCGTACAATAAATTTTAAGCAATCAGAAAATTAGCTTGTAAAAAGGGGTGCAAGCATCGCACCTCTGTAAGAGTGCAATCTCCCTGATTTTCAGAAGTGCCTTGGCACTGATCTGTGTCCTTGCAGAACTTGTTCCTAGGCGATGGCTTTATTTGCCACTGCTAAACTAATCCTGGAGAGTCCAGCCTGAGACTTTGCAGTTTCCTTTTGTGGAAAGGAAAACTTTTCCAGTTGTGRGTTAAGGTTTCTCCTTTCGTTTCCTTTCTTGGGGAATTTTTCTTTCCCATTTTGTTGCTGGATACACTGATTGCCAAGTCATTCTTTTGATGGCTGGGCAATTGGGGAAAACAAAAAGAGCCTATGCCCCACCCACCCCACCCAATTGATCTCCCTGAGCACTTCTGCCTGGCAGGTTTTTTTTGTTTGTTTTTTTTTTTTCTATCCCTCTCTTTGGAGAGAGGTAAGTTCTTGTCAGAGTTTTGGGCTTGGGGTAGGTGTGTGTATGTGGTGGGGGGTAACTTCACTTCCTGCCCTGCTTGGCTCAGAGAAGGAGGTGGACMTGCTACCTGCGTAGGGGAGCTCGCCTGCTCTTTTCTGCAGAGCCCAGCATCTCCATTTCTTGGTTCCGGTTTGCTGCACTGTGATCTTCTGCCCCTGTGCCTTGCCAGGACCTCTGAGATCCTAGCTGCAAGTGATTGAGTTCTGCTGCATCCCATCTCACAGCCGCGGGATTCTGCTCGTCTTTTTTGTTCATCCGGTCRTTCTGGGGTTTCTTGCTGTCCAGAGGAGCGCCAAGATCAGCATTTCTGCTTTGAGTTTGCGGAGGAGCTCTTTTCTCTGTCCATCTGTGCCGGGTTTTGTCTGCCACTTGTCTTGTGGGAGATCTGAACCTAGCAGATCTGGGATCCATGCAGAAGATCTGGGACCCACGCCACAGCACCCCCTACAGCCACTGGGGAATCATCGCACGCGCCCTGCCCAGCCGGGAGCCAACAGTGCCCCTGCCGACTGCACCAAAGAAGAGGGTGTGTCTCTGTAAGGTTGTCACTGGGTTTGTGACTGGGTTGGTTGTTGCTATCATTGTTGTTACTTATTTCACCTTGGTATACATATTAGTAAAAACTGTTATTCCCTTTTACCCATATTCTTGCCTGAAAGCCTGTGATTTTCAAAGCTATAAGAATTCAGAGGGAAGGGGGATCATATCCAACACTCCAAGGGGGGTCTCTGCCTTCATTTGGCAAATGCCTGTCTTTCAAACCAAGACACTTTGCATGATAGAGGTGACTACAGTTTGCCTCTTAAAGGTCTCTAAAAGACCTCTTTTTTACCAGAGTAATATTTCTCAACAGTGCAGTAGGAAGGCAGTTGCCACTAGCAGAATGATGAATAGAGAAAGGAATTGGTCCTCAGGAATTAGTCTGCTACAGAATAAGGTATTGTTCAGGCAAGCGACAACTTGTCATCGAATTGTAACTCATGCGGTAACTCTTTTCTAGTGTTAATTTTATAGTTTCATCTTCGGTAAAAGCCATCCATTTGAATTCCACGTGTAGGAAGCAAGGAATCTCACTGTTCACCTTGCACAGGGAGAATAGCTAGCAGAAGCAGCTATAGTCACGCAAGCAAATTTAACTTTCAGCATGTTTGGCTCATTCATATCTTCTATCTCTGTTTCGTATATCACAAGAAACAGGCACACCATTCCAGAAACAACTACTGAGGTGTGTGATGTTAAAAAAAAACAAAACTGGGAGAACACAATTCCTGTGCAATGCAGCTGAATGTTTATTACACGTTATAGTCAACTATATTTCAAAACGGAAGTGGTATACTGCTGAGGTGTGACCTCAGGTGTGACCTAAAGGCATAGCATTTTATTTTAATTTCCTTTTCACATGATACATATTTTTCAGAACACTTGAAAGTTACACCTTAAGGACCGAATTCTTACTGCATACAGAAGTTCGCAGAATAATGCAGAATTGTTTCCCAGTCACCAGTGAGGTGAAGTTACTTTTTWAAAGAAAATTTAAAAAAAAACCTCAAAACCACCAACAAAAAAAACACAACAACTCTGACCAATAAATAAAACAGTAATTTTTATTACTATCAAAGACAATAGAACACAGAGAATGTACTGTCAGTAACAGTATTCTTCAAATGTCTGATCATAGTAAAAAGTTTCAATACTTCATTTGTTGGTTTGTGTAAAAGGGATATTTCCAAACATTTGGGTTTTGTTTTTCCCAGCATCCTCTTGTTTTTCTAATTAAAACGCCATGCAATAAAATACTACACCATGTTCCTTTTCTGTATTTTGGGGTTTATTTGTTACTGATTTATTGTCCTTTTATGTCTTCTTTGTTCTGTAGGAAAGTAAACAAGTACATCAACAATTACGTAGATAGCTACCATCTTACAGGTCTCTTAATAGGTCTGTGAGGTAGGAAAGTACTGCCCTAAAAGATGGAGGAACTGAAGCAAAGGACTGAAATTTTCATCACTAATGAGTGTACTGGTGTAAACCAGGATTCTGTAATTTCTCAATTTCTGCCATATATTTTTTCTAAGTCAAAATGTCCTTAATTATGATTTAGGCTAATTCATAAAGGTAATATAACATATTTTATTGTTATTGTTATGTTCCTTTTTAACAAAATACTAAAGGCAATGTGTTCTCACTAGATTAATGGTTCTTCAGGTTATGTTGTTAGTATTATTAAGGTCCTTCCAAGTTTATATTAAAGTGCTTAGTTGTCAATTAYTTTCAGTCACCTGAGCTCAGAAGTTACGTAAAGATCTTCGGGCATCTTATGTCCATAAAGACCTTTTTTTTTACTGCAGTCATCAAGAATTTCATTGTTTGTTTAAAGATTTGACTGTTGAGGTATAGAATGGACTAGTGCCAACGTTTAGACATAATTTCAAGTAAAGTCTATACTTTTCTGTGCAAAGGAAACAAAATGGCATATAGCTTACTCTATGAGTAGGCATTCCAGAGGACCTTAAAAAGGCATGTCTGCAATACACTTGACAAAAGAACAAAACAAAGGAGTTCATATCTGTGGAGGCCGAAAGCCAGCATTGTGGCCTTACAGGTCCTGAATCTGAAATTGGACCAATAACAGCGTACCCCTGAGACCTGGGAAACAGAAGGGAGTTTAACAGCCTGCATGGAGGAGTATGCTACCATAAACAACACGTCCTTGCCTGCCTCTGGGAAAAGGAGAATAGAATGTTGAACAGATAAAACAGATGTCCAAAGACAGAAGCAATAACACAAAACATTAATGACATTGCAACTTTTGCAAATATACCAATAATATGCTGATGAGTAGAAAAGCAGCTGCTTTACTAGCCAATGTATGTTTGCCACAAATGCGGAAGACTTAGTATACACTTGTTGCTAAATAGATAAAAGGGGCTCAGCCCCGTAATAAAGTAGTTGTAGTTGTCGTAGTCATAGTTGTCTGTCTGTGTCTGTTATTTCGTGTCGCAATCTGTCTCAACAGCGACACATATCTTTTTTAACAGCATAGTACACTTAAACTCCAATGTGGTTTTGGGGAGTCTGCTTAAAACCAACAGAGCTAAAGTATTAGGCCTAGTGATACTCAGCCTGCCTCCAGAATTCTGCCTCAAGTGGTGTACGGCTTGAGCAGTGCAACATCTATTAACAACAGTATGTTTCTTCATCCATATTGTCATCACTGACTGCACCAAAGTCATCTCCATCTTCAAAATAGGAAGAAATGTAGCATTTTCCTAAACCAATGGAAAAAGGAAACATCTATCACTGTATGCGTGGAAATAATTTATAAAAGAAACATGATTTAAACAGCACTTGAGCAACCATATTTTAAAATAGATTCTTGGGAAGTAATAAATTCTTGGGAAAGAAAAAGGAAAATCTTGTAATGAAGTTCTGACATATACGAAACAAGAGGCATCACTGTTTTAGTGATAAGAAGGAGTAATTGTATATATTGTGTCAGAACACATTACTGTGTAGAAGATTTTTTTTCAGAGGTCTTTGTGAGTAACGAGTCTAGAACACACACATAAATTAAGTGTAATGTAATGCAGTGCAGCAAAGATCATGAATAATAATTTCTCCCACAACAACTCTCCCTTATTGGGAATTAGGGACATTTCTTTGCCAGCCAACACACTATCAATGATGGATCTGACTTCATGTAAAGAGGAAAACTAACATTATACGTCTTCATGCTCTTCTTCATCATATTCCTCTGGTTCTTCTGCTGCTTCATCATCTTCACCTTCTTTGTCTTTCGTTTTGTTTTTATAATCTTCAGATTTTTCTTCTTCCTCACCCTTTTTTTCCAGCTCCTGTCACAAGGCAATCTGTTTACAAGGTAATCCCATATTAGAGCAACAGCACATCCTCCATACCACCAAAGAGGTAAACTACAATTAACAGCAAGACAATTGGCATAACACTACAATTAACAGCAAGACAATTGACATAATTTGCTGTGCAAATATTTTTTGTTGATATTTGAACCAATATGATGTGAAGCACAAGAACCTTGTGAAGAGTTACTTGGTCAAGCATCAGCCATCMAAAAGCATGTCTTGTGCAATAAACTGAGATGATGATTTCCCTTTACCATCCACTGTTAGAACAGTTGACAGAAGGCCATGTCATACTTAGTAAAGCAATACCACGTACTGTATGTAATAACATAACTGCATCAAATAACTGGTGGATTACCAGGGGGAAAAATACAAAGCTGTTTCACCTTTAAGGTTCCCACTGCCACTCTGTCTACGAAACAGAGGTCACTTCCTAAGTTTCTTTTTGTGTGTTTCTTCTCAACTTACTAAAATTGTTTAACAGTAGATTGGTGAAACAGTGACAGATTTAAAAGGCACTGGCACCAGTTCCTTGTTCTCTAAGTTCCAGTAATAGCTCTGCTATTTACATTAAGGTTGTATTGCTACCTAGTGCTGGTTGTTTTGTTCAGGTACAAACAAGAGCAAAGAAAGTAGTTTCTCCACAGCCAGGCACTWTCTTTACCCTAACCCTTGTGCCACCACAGTGCAGAACAGTTGTGTATCATAGTAACAAGGCAAGACCAGAAAAAACCTGTGCTGGTTATTCCATTCGTACCAAGGAACAAACTAGGTTTAATTTTCCTTTAATTTTCATTACAACATTTAGAAATAGTATGCACTTCTTACCTCAGTTTATTTAATCACATTCAGATTACTTTTAGGCTCAGGTCATTTGCCTTTTTTGTTAGTGCACCTGCTGAAATAAAATACGTGACTTTTTTTTTTTTTTTAAATGTGAAAAAGATTGAAATTCACTTGTTTTACTTGTCCTTAAGAGTAAAGATAGCTTGAATATGACACGAAAATCCTATTGTTGTAGTGGATGAGACCATCCCAGAAAATGCTGAAGGGCTAGAGAGCCCTGGGATAGTCGGAACTCAGTGGTGGAAAGATTTTAATAACCCCCTTGGGAATTAAATGGTTCTTTCCATGAATTTGTAAATCCTGATGTCCTGGTTGGATTTGATGTGACCCCTCACTCCTCCTACCCCTTCCCCCATTGGTCATTGTATTCTCTTTGCCTTCTCTCTCTGCCCAGCTTCTCAGGTAACTGGTCCCCAGGTGTATATCTGTGGCCAGATAACCTCGCCCCCATCTTCTTTCATCTCTGGTGTCCTTTGGGAATAAATTCCTGGAATAAGCTACGCAACTGAGTCCTCTGTTTCTTTGTCTCTGGTAACGTATGGACTATTAGTCCACTGGGGGGTGTGTGTGTCTGCCATTCATTGGCCTGGGCGTAGGTTATACTCCTGCACAGTACCAAAGAAGTGCTGGCCAAAGTGATCTCCGTAGCCRGGGACACTTGTAGTATACACAGAGAGATCAGACCACCCTAAACACCCCCCAGAACACTTTATACTATCTGTATTAAAATTACCTTAGACTTTGAGCTATATCATTCATAGAGGTATAAATGCCTGATTTATGTAAGAGATGCCTAGAAAGCCAGTCTGAAATTCAGTTTGAACAAGCAGTTGGCCAAAGGCTGGGCTAAACTATGACATTGAACTTCACAAAATGCTAGTCACCTATATTCGTACAGTATGTTAAGAAACTAGAACAAAATTTTACTTGCTATGTTTCATCATCTTGAAAGGATAAAAGCTCATCATTACTAATTTTACAAGACATTAATGACAGGTGAGTTCTTCAGATAAGTAGATGTGAAAAAAAGGGGCAGCAGTTCATTAGCTCTAACAGACTGGATGGTGACTGTAGCTACGTGGATTCTGGACTACAGCTGACTCTCATCTAATGAATCTACGTTGTGTATTTCCACTTAGTCCTGTGATTCATGAACATAATCTTTATCAAGTTACTCCCTGATTAAATACATGATGGGGTAAAGGTCAAAAATACCATTCCATATATGCAGATAAGAGTTACCTGAATGGCAGCACCCTAAACCAAAGTTGCCCAAATACCAGCCTTGTACTCAAAGAAGCAGAACACTGAGAAATGATGAGGAAACAACTATTTTTTGTCAAAAGCATTTGTSATAAATAACTTTGAGTTTATTTCAGTGTTTTGACTAGGAAAGGATTGTATGACTGCACAGAGCTGAGGGCAGTTAAGCTGCTCTGTAAAAACATGAACAACGTCAAAGCAAACACATCCAGAATGAAGCAGGCTTTTAAGAAAAACAAGTGGAAATAGCAATTCAGAATTACTATCACAGCACAAACTCTTGCAAGCTTTTACAGATAAAGTGTATAGAACAAACAGACATGTAAAATTTGTCTTTAAATGCTGGGCATCTTTGGCCCTTATAAAATTAGAGACCCTGACCCATTGTTAGAACTTCAAGCAAAATAGCTCTCTACAATATAAAATGTTATGCAGTCTAATCTAATCTGATTTCCAGATACCTGGTCTTGTAGTAGTTGAACTACAAAGCATTAATCTGACTGCTATATACATGYGCATGTAGCTGGCCTACAATGTCAACTGAACCCAGTCAACATTTTAATTTATTTTTTTTATTTTATTTTTTGCAGCAATCACTGCTGGAATCTAGGATACTGCATTTTTCATAGCCCAAAGTTAGTGTGGGAGAGATGGGAGAGATGTGGAATTCTACCCAAAGTTTTGTCACTGAAAAGGCAAGTGATCAGGTCTTCACTTAAAACATTAAGGGAAACCAGAGTGAGGGAGGGAGAAGTATGTAAAAGTAGAGCTGTCTCTGTGCATGGAACAGTACTGATCCCAAAACCACACCTGTAAGCTATGAAGGGAGAATGGTAGGAAGCTTGTTAGAGTTTCTGTGCAAATTCTCTTGATTTGTTCACCACCATGGTTAAAGTGTCACCTAAGTTATCTGTCTTCAAAATACAACAAAGATATGCAATAGAAGCTCTAATGGATCACTGATCAGCTATGTACAAACTTCCTTACTCATGACTATCATCAGGATTCCACCAAAAAAGCTCTAAATGTATCATTAGAGTTCCATAAAAAAAAAAAAAAACCCTAAACCCATATAGTTTTTGCTTTTAGGGGAACCTATTCCTTAATTCAATCAAATTGTGATAGTCTGATCTTTGCCATTATAACTACATAGAGAAATGTATTTTAAGAGCCAGTAGAAAAACTGGTACTAAAGAAAGAGGAAATTTCCCCCAGTGAGCAGTGATTCCCTCTTTATTTATGCTAATCACATTATTTTAACATTTATTATTTCATTGGATTTTAGGGAGATAACTATTGTGCAACTACCATAAAAGCCTGTGGTTTCTTCTTTTGGAATAAAAACTAATGTATATTCTGGTCCTACCTTTAGAGATTTTGCAAATAAGTGTTTCATTTTCAGTTTAATCTTACACTTTACCTTTGGTACCATGCTTCTCAATGATGCTCTTCAAAGGAACAAAGATTCCAGCTGAGCCAGTCGCTGTGATTATGCACATTCATATTTCTTTTTCTATTTTATCCTAGACTGAAAAAGAACAAGAAAGCAAACAATTATATATAAATAGGCAGCTAAACACAGGAGGCCGAGGGTTATTTCACATAATCTGAACAACAGACTTCTACAGAGAACTTAAAATAAGTCATGCAAACTAGAAAACACTAAAAAAAAAAAATTATTCTGTGTAATAAAAATCGGTTTTCCTGTAAGAATTATCAATACCAGCTCCAACTGCTGTTGAAGGATATGATTCACAATTCTGCAGAAGAAAGTTTTAGAAAATAAATAAAAATGTAAAACTAAGGAAAATAGAAAATAACCCACATTAAATTACATATAAAAGGCTTAAAAATGCAAAATTCAACCAAATAATAATTGAAAAACCTAAAATATAAAGGAAATCTGAACAGCCAGTTGCTATTGAATAGAAGGATGAGTGCTGACTAAAGATGCAAGTTTTCAAAACAGAAAGGTTGTGGGATTTTTTTTTGTAATTTTTCACTGTTACATATCTTGTATGTTAATATGGTGCCTCAATACAAAAGGCAGAATAAAGGAAGATAAGTATGTTCCAGTAAGTTAAAACATCCTACACAAGCAAAGCAAAAATCATGAAAGAGAGGCAGACTAGTAAAATATTTAGGAAAAAATAGTCTGCCATAAGCCTTAATTATTTGGACAAACTAACATTTCTAGCATTGTTTTCCTCTAACCACCTCMAGTATGACTTCTATTTCTCACCTCCTATGTACTATTTTCTTCTTAAAAATATATATGTTTTTTGTTTGCCTTCTTCGGTTTCATTTCTTTTGGGAGTCTAATCTGTACAGAAAACWGTTTTAAGTTGTAAAAGTGATGATTTACAGCAGTACTCCTTCCCCTGCCTCCATGGAMAGGAAGGGGCCCATCCTTTTTACACACATGCCAAAATATTTTAGCACAACTGTTTTAGGGAATTCTAGCTGTAATTTAAATTGAGGAACAGGAGTCAGTATTGCCATTTCATCCCCATAATGACAACTGGCTTCTATCCCAAGGAGACAAAGTTCAGCCATTCCAGTGGCGTATGGACTCTTCACCTTAATTATTATGTAATTAAGTTTGCGTTAGTGAGCTATACAGATATGGTTGGGGAAGGCTAATATTATGTAACACAGCTGTCCCAACAGACATCAGGTTGGGTTATTTTTAGTAACATCARTGTTTGCTCCCAGTTCCAAACTGTTATCTGTGCAGTGAGTAAGGGAAAAGGAAAGCTAGAGTGAAAGCTTAAGTTTGCATTTGTGCTGCAAATCAGTTGTTACAACTGAGTGAATATTTTTTTTACAAAAACAATACTCTCCTTGATTTGAAATCATGCAAAGTAACTCTCAACATACAGGGTTGTAAGGTATGTGACTTCATAAGGATTTYATACATTCTTCATTGCTTGAAAAATAGTGAATCAAACATTTAAAATCAGCCTTCGAAAAACTCCGATACTGACTAATGTCCGTGTTTCCCTCTCCTTTTCATTGTCCTGATACTTTTGACTGTATCTCTCCATTGCTAGAAAGAAGGATACAAGTGTTATTCAAATCACCTAGTTAAAAGGCAATCCAGACACAGCCCTTGATATTTTCCTGTAACTAAATATACAGTGTATTTTTTTAATTTGTTGTTGAAAATTTTTCTGGTGACAAAAAAAAAAAAAAAAAAAAAAAAAAAAAAAAAAAAAAAAAAAAAAAAAAAAAAACAAAGGAGGGGAGAAAAAAAGCATGAACTTGTTAAATTCAGATTTATTCAGGGAAACTAGGTTGAAACATCAAATGTAACACATGAGTGTGTTACTCTTCAAGAGTTTCACAATCAAACTTTGCTACAAAACCACTGAGTAACATTTAACATAATTATCTTAACCATAAAGAACAGGTKATATTCCCAGGTCTCAAAAGGCTGTGTTTCAGTCTGATCATCAGCTCCCAAGATTTTCAGTACTTCTGCAATGGAAAAGCTTTGCATCCTATCCAAAACAGCAACCACACACTTTAATCCATTTAATGTCTTATCAGGCACAAGAACTAAATCAAGCAATGTATTATAAATGACACAATAGCTATACAGTGTAAGTACATCCAACTGAACAACCTTTTATGTACATCTCTAATGACAAAAGCAATATCAAAACTCTAATATTTTTAAATCAGTCTCACTTTTTCTTGTCAAATTGCCACATGCAAATGCAAAATGCATGCCATGGAAAATTACTCAATCTGATTGCACTATTAACTCAAATAAGAATAATATTTGCAGATATTGTACAAAAAAATTAGTAACAAAACCAGCCCTTCATGTTTAGAGTCAAAGACCTCTAGCATACAGTGACAGACTTGTAGAATCACAGAAGAGTTTGGGTTGGAACAGACCTTAAACATCACCTCGTTCCAGTCCCCATGCCATGGGAGACCTGCCTCTATACCAGATTGCTCAAAGCGCCATCTGACCTGGCACTGAACACCTCCAGAGATGGGGCACAACTTCCCTGATCCACAACTTCCCTGAGCAACCTGTGTCAGTGCAAGCAACCTTACTGTAAAGAATTTTTCCCAATGTCTAATCTAAATATGTTCTTTTTCAGTTTGAACCCATTCCCCCTTGTCCTGTCACTACATGCTCTTGCCCAATCTTTCCTGTAAATTCCCTTCAGATACTGGAAGGCTGCAATTAGGTCAGTCTGATTCCTTCTCTTTTTCAGGCTGAGCAATCTCAATTCTGAATCTTTCCTCACAGGAGAGATGCTTATCATGCCAGTCATCTTCTGGACTTACTTCAGCAGGTCCATATCCTTCCTGTGCTGGGACCCCAGATGGGGTCCCACCAGAGATGGGCAGAGGGGCATAATCCTCTCCTTCAACCTGCTGACAATGCTCCAATGCAGATGCAGCAAATTGCACTCTGTTAAACCACATGAGATTCCCAGGTACCCATTTCTGCAGTCTCTCCAGGTTGCTCTGTATGGTGTCCCATCCTTCAGGTGTATACTTCTCTAGGAAGAAGACACAATAAATGTAGCTAAATTTTAAACATAGTTATTATAAAGGCAAAAAGAAAACCTTAAAATTGTGCAACAAAGAGTGCATTAAAAGTAAGTGTCCCAAGGAGCATTCACAGATGCTGTAAGAACTATCAGCAAAGAGAGGAAAGAAACGAGTAGTTTTGATTTCAGATCAAGGCTCTTTAGTGAAGAAATAATTGCTGATGCCATCAGTAAAAAAATACATTGACTAACTCTTGTCACTTACCACTAATGAAATAATTCCTAACCACTATCGAGTTGGCAATCACATGATCTTGGCATATTTACCTACAAGAAAAACATGAATGATTCATAACTCATGTATTGAGGAAAATAAATAGCTTTCCATAGAATACACTTGCTATTCACTCAAAATGAGTGTTGAAATGAATGATGGAAATCTGTGCTCTATACCACACTGAAAAAATGAAATTGCCACTTATGTGTAGATATGTCTTTCATTTACTACCCAAAKAATAAAAGAAAGACAGCTCATCCTAACTCATTAAAATGTTTCCTTTCTCACACCTGAAAGGACCACTTGGCTCACAGATGTTGTTCTGCGGTTTTATAAATCGTCACTCTTGTAGCAAAAACAATTTATGAAGTTCTTGCCTATAGTCCACCCCATTACTCCCTCTTAGTTCTACAAAAGGTTTTGTAAACCAGATAACAGAAAAGATCAGTTTAAAAGAATTTACTCTGAAGTTTTCTTAAAGCTAGGGCACTTTTGCTACATAAAGTAGTCCCAGAGACAACTGCACACTGTGACCAAGATTAAAACAAGCTTTTTAAAYTGCAGATGACCACTAATGTAATTATGGACCACTTTTCAGACATGGGATTTTTGTACAACTAAAGATTCAGTAAAAAGATACCTCAACTTACCAACTTGGAGAAGTGATGAGAACATTCAAAGCATTATTTGAATCTACAAAGTAGCTTCATACTTTCCCTGCAACTGCCAATTTTGGTAGAACAAAAAAAAAAAAATCAACACTGGCAGTTCTACTAAGAAACACACTCAGCAAAACAGAGGGATCTCTCCATTTCAGAAAAAAGATTGCAGAAACAAACATTATATTGAGCAAACAGTAAGAATGGTCACATGAGGCAAAGCTGGAAAAGAGAGAGAACATTTTCTCATAAAGCAGCTGGTTCATTGGAAATAATGCTGGCTGGCTCTCATGCATAGCAGTTTCCTTTTTTGTGCCTCTAACAGAAATAGCAAACTTCAAGCCTGAAAAAGATCAAGAGCACAGCAAGCCTCCAGTGAGATAAGAATCCAAAGAGATTGAAATTTGTTTACTCTGAAGATGAAAGAGCACATATGATATAAGAGTAATTCAGAATTCTTCTAGCATCATAAAGGAATTTAGAAAAAAGGATCAGATCACTTCTTGCTTGATAACCAGTTCTACCTGATTGCACCATCTGGGCTCCAGCTGCAGATCAGGGGAAATATTTTGTCTTTTTGTGAGCCACAACACTTGGCTGGCAGTGTGTTTACTGCTTACACTACAGAGTGCTGTTCCATTTTATACATGGCTTTACTACAAGACCAAGTGGACAATAAGATATGTTATTCAGTGTTACGTACAAAGACTAATAAAAAGTAACTGCATATGTCTAAAAAACAGCTAGAATTCACCACTTCACCATGAACAGAAATTATCAAAAATTCTGAGGGGATTGGATTTTATGCAGCCAGCTCTGCATGCCTGAAGTTGCTTCCTAGCCTAGGAATTTTCAGCTTTCTTCTTCTAAACTTTAGATGCACTGTATTGAGTTCAACCAGAAGAACCAGAAACATGAGGAAAAAGGTGTAAGAACTCTGAACTTCCTGTGCCTACATTTTCATGTTCTTGAACTTTCCTCCAAAAACAGTTTGTGTTTGTCATTCATTAATTCTTCATCCTGATTTTTATCCTTTACCTTAGTACCATTTTTTTTATTCTGATAAAGTGACACGGGCAAAGAGCTTTAATGTATTCAAAAGGCATGAAACAACTAGAGCAGGGCTGCAAGCTAACTACTGATAAAAGAGGTTGTTTCTAACTGAAATGTTTAACAAAGGGTATAAAAGAAAAAGAGCCACCAAAACTTATAATCACATCTCTCCACCTTCACTATTATACATACCAACTTCATCTTATGAATTGCATGACCCATGGGTTGATAAGTAAATCAAAATATGATAATGGGGGAAGATGTCAATACACGGGACCCAAGAGAAGCTTGGCTAAAGCACAGTGATACTGCTCATTCTCCCAGACCACATAGCGATCAGTCCAAGGTCCCATAAGCTGTTCACCATTAACTACAAGGTTACTCTACTGCACCTTGCTTGGCACAAACAAGGCTGTTCCAGACTTACTGCTGTACCTGTACGAGCACATCTCGTTCTTCCCAGACAGAAGCAACGGCCTTTTTTTTAAGGCCAGAGAAAACAGGCTGATGCCAGTTTTATCCTATTCATTACTTTGAACAGAAATAAGCTCTGTTTGGATTAAACAAAATCACATTTTATATTTCCACATCACTGCAGCAAGGAATACTGTCTAAAAATAAGCAGAGACATAAATAAATACTTTTTAAGGAAAAAAAAAAAAAAGCAAAAGCTAAGGCTGAACATGTAATTAACTGGCATTTAAAAAAAGAAAAAAAGGAGAAGGGGAAGGAGAAGGAGAAGGAGAAGGAGAAGGAGAAGGAGAAGGAGAAGGAGAAGGAGAAGGAGAAGGAGAAGGAGAAGGAGAAGGAGAAGAAGGAATGGAAAAGAGAAGCAAACTCCTTTGAAAAAAGGATGAAAAGCAAGATGTGAGCTTGCAGAATGGAGAAGATAAAAGATACTGTAAAGCCCAAAATACCTATGTATTATCTACATATAAATTATCTACATGTGAAAAAAGGAACCAACAACAGAACACACACACACACACACACACACACACACAAGATGTTAGATGAGATGTTGAGCTAGCAAGGAAAGGCATTAAATGTAATAAATATTTTTATTAAGTTAAAACTGCATTAAAATTAATTCTCAGTAAATTCCCTTGAAACAGAGCATTAATCTGGTAAGAAGTAACAAGCTTTAAAACTAGCAGTATTTCAACTCCATGTTTTTTCCCAAACTTAGGATTTTTTCCAAGCATACTGGCTTAGAARGCTCTTGTCTACTGACAGAACAAAGTGACAGTGATAATTGATTGAAGAAATCATGAAGGAAAAGTTGAGTTGTGCAACGAAGTCACCAAGCATGACAAAGTACAGGCTGCCTTGAGGAATGTCTACAGATCACCTGGGTGTATTTTCATGTTTACGGGTAGCTTGTGTGCCATTTATAAAAGAGAATATTTTCAGATTTAAGCTTTCAGAATTTCTTCGAACTTATGCATGCAGTTTCTTGGGCAGTTGGTCAAGGAAAGACAGCTGGTGCTCCGGAAGGGAAAGGCCCGAGAAATGTGGATCCCCGACAGAAGCCAGGGGCTGGCGAAATCGCAGGACACCGAGGAGGCTGAGCGCTTTGACGAGCTCTCCGTGTCCTACGCTTTCTTACGCAGGATCGTGGTTCCCCAATTTTCAGAGGCGGATGCAATCAGTTCAAGGGAAGAGCAGATGCAGAAGGACTGAACTTTAGATACTGAGGTTTTGTGGGTGTCCTTTTAAACTGCCGCCCGTGCAGGTAAGCGGGTGAAGATGACTGTCAGGAGGGTCACTAACCACCGTGTCACAATACCCCTCTCAGGTCCTCTCTGCTCCTCTCCCCAGGCCTTCTTCCCTCGCTGAACGCCCGCCACGCCTGGAGGATCCCCCCGCTCCCCTCACGACCGACGAGTKTCGCCTTTTCTCCCTCCGCCACGGGCTGGTCTCAGCAAGGAAAAGRGATCGGGTAGACGGCCCCTCACTCCACGGCAAACCAGGCCAAGCCCTCCGGGCTGTCCCGCTCCTCACCCGGCGCCGCTGCGCTCCGCCCGCCGCTGCCGCAGTGGGCCGGGCCCGCGCCCGCCCCGCCCGCGCCGCCGCCGGGGGCCTGCCGGGGATTCGCGGCCGCGCAGCGTTGGCAACGCGATGTCGGCGCTGGAGTGGTTCGCGCACAAGCCCCTGGGCGGTGGCATCTTCTGGATCCAGGAACGCTTCTACGAGTCGGGCAACCGGGCCAACATCTGGCTGGTGCGGGGCTCGCAGCGGAACGTGGTGATCGATGCGGGGCTGGGGCTGCGCAGCTTACCCGACTACCTGCGCGACGCCGGGCTGCTGGCGCCGGCCGARGGCGCCGGGCCGCGGCCGCTACTGGCCGTGGCCACCCACGTCCACTTCGACCACTCGGGCGGGCTGCAGCACTTCGAGGAGGTGGCGGTGCACAGCGCCGAAGCGCCGGCGCTGCTGCAAGGCGACAACTACGAGTCCGTGACGTGGCTGTCGGACCGGGAGGTGGCGCGGCCGCCGCGGCCCGGCTGGAGCGCACGGCAGTTCCGCGTGCCGCCCGTGCGGCCCAGCCGCCTGCTGCAGGAGGGTAAGGGCGGGGCACGGGGCACTGCGGRGCACGGCGCGCTGGGCACTGCGGAGCGGCTGCTGTGCCGCTCTGCGCCTCCTGCTTCGCTCGGCTCCTCGCATAAAATCATTAAACCGCTTAATTCTGGCGTTCCTGTACGCTTACAAACTGTCCGCAGTCAGCATGTGACCAAAAAGACGCGTACTGGGTTAAACCGTTTTTACCAGTTCTGAAAGTATTTGGCCGCAGGGTTGTTTCTTTTTCCCCGAGAATCACTTAGCAGTGCAGGGATTTTAGTGACTAATTGAGCACCCCAAGTTTATCCTTAGTCTTCGAACAGTGTGTCAACAGGTCATGTCATGGCATCTGGTGACCCTTGTTATTTATAAGCTGTCAAGACATAGGAGTGGAATTAAAAAACAATTCCTGAAATACGTACTGAGAATAGTTTTTGTTTTACAGAATTTACGTGAATTTTATGTGAATACATTTACTGAATTTTACCTGATACATGTAAAATATGAAAAAATGACGCTTTACTGATGTAGCATGTACAGAAATGGTTTGTTGCAGATTAAAAAAAAAACTATATTTAGTCTCTCATAGGAGATAGGGACTAAGGTCTTAGGGACAAAACACCTAAACTACCACACTGTAGAGCAGAAGTTAAAGGGTTGCYGTCATRCAGGTGACACCTTTGGCACTGTACTTACTCTTTCCTTGACTTTATTAGGCCATCCCACATAGGTGCTTGGAAAAGGAGAACTGACCTTACTGAAGTCTTCAGTAAAGATCTGATGTGACATTTAACTATTGTAAATGAACACAAGTTTAAGTTGTGTTTTTCTTTAAAAGGAGGGATTATTAAAAAAATACTTTTATAAAAGAGCAAGTATGTAGGCTGCCAACGTAGCATCAGTTTCTAAGATGTTCATTGAGATGTGAGACACAAGTGTAAGTTCAGTGGCCTATGCAGTTACAAGGCATTTGCATTTAAACTGGCAAAAAAGATCTAATGGTAAGAAAGTTCTATTTTTATGTCTTCCTGAAAGAGATAAAGAAAGCATGTGGAGGTCTGTCTTGGTTCTCCTCCAGCAATTTATGTTTTGGCCTTTGGCCTTTTAGGAGTAACACCAGTGCAGTTCTAAGTGAATTAAATGAGAAAATTATAATAAATTGTGGAATATATACTTTGTAAGCTTTCAAATGATAACCAGCATAGGTGTGTTCTGTTGTTTTCCTGTTTTACTTTCTATACTGCATTGCTTTTCACATTTTTCAATTTATTAGAACATTACAACCCAAGCTTATGTTAACTGCTAGTGCCATTGGAAAATACGTATTTGTTAAGCGTATATTTCAGACATCTCTTTGGCACTTACCAAGAAAAATGCGCCACTCCCATTGTTGCAGATATTTAGCACGTATAAACTCTCTGCATATGAGTGGGTATGTAGTTCTCTTTGTGTCATTTAAGAAACACTGTAATAAATCTGTTTGCAGGGGATGTGATCAACCTTGGAGATCATCAGCTCACTGTCATGCACATGCCTGGTCATTCACGAGGCAGTATTTGCTTGCACGACAAGGACAGGAAGATCCTGTTCAGCGGAGATGTGGTGTATGATGGATCCATGATCGACTGGCTTCCCTACAGCAGAATCAGCGACTACGTTGCAAGCTGCCAGCGCCTGATGGACTTAGTAGACAGAGGTCTTGTGGAGAAAGTACTACCTGGGCACTTCAACATATTTGGGGCCGAAAGGCTGTATCAGTTAGCTTCCAACTACATTTCCCAAGCTGGATTTTGTCACAAGATTTCTACCTGTGTCATGAGATCCATTGCGAGCGTAGCACTTCGTGTTACAAATTCGAGAATCACTTCTCAGTGACAGTCAATTTTGTGTGATTTGTCACCTGCTGTAAAACTAAATGGGTTGTGAAAGCATCAATAGCAAACAAAAGCAGTATGCATTAGCAAAAAGATGGCAAATTGATACAGGTGAGTTTCGAAAATTCCCCCTATTTTTTCCTGCTTTATTTATATTTTTATAAAAACTGTGTGAACTACTAGCTTTTGCCAAAGCTAAAGCTTTTCTTTATATTTTTCAGGGCATGTTTGCACATGTATTGCGATTGAAATAATTGTTTTATTTTTGTTTCAACTCTTGACAGATAGATATATGCTTAAGTGTGAAGTTTTACATTCACGACTGAAACTTTGTTGATGTAGTACTAGACTTGTGATTATTCATCAACTCCTGCTCAGGTAGGAACCTAATAGAGCTCTTGCTAAATACTAGTGTGTGCTRGGGTCCAAGCAGGAGCATAACATGACTCTGGTCACAGAGAAATAATTCTGCAGCCATTGCCACCTGTGAGCATCGTGTCTGCTCACCTCTCATCACCTGAACTTTTATCTTTGCAAAGTATCTATCTGCAGTTTCTTTAGAATACACTAATGTATAGACCACTAGTGTATAGACCTTCTATAGACCAAACTTCCAAGCAGAAAGTCAGGTACATCAGTTTACTCCAAAACTTTTTGGCGCAGACAGATGCTTGAGGCATTTGTGTTTCCTGGTGTGGTGCAAGGAACCACTGCACCAGGAGAGAGGGAACAAGCAGGAGCACTCTCACCATTGGCTAGGGAACTATTTTACTTGTAGGCATGTGAGTTAGAGAATTTGTGAATTAATTAATTAATGTGTTAGACTAGCCTGTACAAAGTGGATTTATTATAGAGTATGTTCTGAATATTTGAGAGAAGTGGACTGTGTCAATCTTAAAGGTTTTGTGTGTAAGGGTATTTCTGTGTGACGATATTGTAACTTGATCTGTGTTAGGGAAGGGATTGAGGCTTTAACATGACCTTGCCATAGTGAAGGTGCTGCATTAAGCAGCCAGTTACACTTGGTATCACAAAGGTAATGTAATTCAAATTGTTAACTCTTTGTACCTGAAGTATGTGCTGCACTTAATATTTAAGAATTGTAAAATGTGTTGCATTGAGTTTGTGCCAAACAAAATGTTGATACATTGGGAAATGCTAAATGGCATTGTRACTTGTTTGTGAAAATTGAATGTGTGATATTTAAAAGCTACTGAAGTGGTTAGAGTTTGTGTATTATTCTAACAGTATTATTCTAACAGTCCTTTTTTAAAAGGACACTGTCTTAATTTATTTTTGTACATAGACATATATATGTTCCTTAAAAGACTGCAAATGTTTCTCCCAAATTTGAGTGCAGCTTTAATTTTTCTTGTTTGACTTTTACTTTATGCAGAAGGTTTTGACCACATCATAGCCAAGAGAAAGCCCAAGATTTGGGCTCTCTTTGAGGCACGAGGGAGAGGAAGTTGATGACCTTCTGAAYAGATGCAAATTTTGTGGGGAAAAAACCAACCCAAACCTATTGCAAAATACCAAAGCATCTCTGTCTATAAAAATTATGAAAGTGAATATCTTATGTAGAGCTTTTTCCCTTTCATGGATCACTGCACTCCTGCCTTTACTGTGAATATATTCTTCACCAGGATTTGTACCGATTGTTTGTGATGTGCCTAGTTCTTGTTAGCAGTGCCTATCTCCAAGCTGAAGCAAAACTGTGAGTGAGCAGGACATGTGCAGAGATGCAGCACTTGGAAGACCTGTTATCAGTCAGATCACAGKCTCTTTTTTTGCGAAATCCATGTACATCAGTGTATGACGTGAGAAGTGTTCAGTGGGCAGACTTACGTCATAAAATGAAAAGGTTTTTATCTTGGCCTCAGTTGGCAGAGGAAGAAATACAAAACTTAGACTGTTGTAAGCACTAAAGAAATACAAAACTTAGCTTGATGTAAGCACTAAAGCTTACAACAAGTATCCAGAGGATGCCATGGTGTCAAATGTAAGTGAATTCCTGCAAATTATTCATCAGTGGTATAATACCAGTAATAATTCTGTTCTTTAAATAGTGCTTTTGTGAAGACTGGGGGAGCACTGGTGGTGACCGGTGCATTAACATTAAGGCAGACACAGAGAACTGTCACAAAGTCTGCTAATATGGATGTCAAGTTACTAAAGTTTTGCAAAAGTTTACTAGGAAAGTAAGATCACTTTGAATTAGTATTCTGTGTTATGCCACTACCAGTGTGTTTATTTGATCCAGTATTAGAATCTCTGTAGCTAGATTTTACTGCCTTGTAAAGCCTGAGCTCCTGAGAGAAGACTCACGGGCATGTCAGTTCAAAAAGAAAAATAACCTCCATCCTCCATCATTTATGTCAAAATCTGTGCTCAGTATCTCTGTCAGCTGAGATTCTTAAATGGCCAGATCACTGTCAAAATGCCCTATTAAGCTATGCTTAGTATATGTACGTAACCAAAATTGCCTAAACTTTTTTACTTCACCAAAACCTAAGGGGATAATTTTCTAGCTCAGAAGTGAGTTTTACATGCACATAACCTAAAGTGGAGTTTGTTAGTAAACTGCTGCTATAATCCAAATGAAAGTAGTTTTTGAGGGTCATGAAATTACTTTTTGTATTACTAGATAAATGATACATCTTAATTAAAAAGAACTGTCTCCAACTATTTTTAAGACTTACCAAATTTTAATCGTAAGAGWTTGACAGTGGTCCTTTAAGAATATTTGGATTAAATGTTTAAAACATGCATTGTAAGTTTCAATACTGCATCATCATGAGCATTTAGAACTGTAGATTTCTTTGTAACATCTAAATATATGTTAATGCAGTTTTGAGTAGACTGGGGAATTGACATAAATATCAGATGAGAAATTCTGTAAGCTGTCAACTGTTATGATGTTTTCACAGAAGAGGTTTTTGTTATGTATTATCATAATAAAATTATATAATCCTATGCAGTTAAGTCATAATTTCTCGGTACTTTTCAAGAGAAGCGCTTTTCATTCTAAATGGAGTATATTTACAAGTTGCTAGCAGAATTTATGCTTCTTAACAAGAAACGGCATGAAAAATGTTTACATATCATAGATTAATGCACTTTGCCTTGTAAGAGCAGAGAAACAAAAACCAAATAAATGCAGCTAGGAAAGCAAGAGGGAGATAAAGGTGGAAGAAAATGAGGATTTATTAGTATTTAACATTAAAAATCTAGCTCTCAGAATTCAACCAACGCTGGTTCCAGTTCTTATTTATAACTAATGTATTTATTRCTTACATCAGTAAGCAGTACTTCGTGGGTCTAAAAATTCAACCGTCTAGTATCCAAACTACTACTATTACTTCTTCAGTCCCTTCACTTTCAGATTGAATTAGCAAGTATAGAAACGATGGAGAAGCAATGAAAAAACGAATAATTATGGTTTATTTTAAATTTATCTGAAGTTAATTACTGCACGGGAGAGCTTCTAGCCCACCCATTTTAGCTGTATTGCACAGGGTTTTCCAGGGCAGTCGGAAAGCAACTCCGAGGTGCACCATTAGTCCAGGCACTCTGTAGTGCTGTGAAGTCACTTTACCACTAGCTTACACATCMGCCCCGCGCTTCTTGGCGTGGTGCACTCCTACCTCAAATGCTGTGAAGGCGCGTGTAGTGTCCGTAGGGGCGGGATGTCCCCTTCTTGCAGCGTCGGTGGGTGGGCGTGTCCCTTCGCTTCCCCGCCCGCTGGCCGCGCCAGTGCCGCGCTGGGGGGAGCGACGCCACCGGGTGGCCACAAGCGGGCGCTGCCTCCGGGCGGGGGCTGCATTTACTATGAAAATAACAATTTGAGATCAAACTAGAAGCCAACGGTCTGGGCTACACAAAACCATCTTCAACGCATGGTTACTCCTGACTACTCAGATTTTATTGGACAGGCTAATCTCACACGCTTAAAAATTTATTGTTAAAAAATTAGGTTAGTAACTAACTTTGTGTATGTCCCTACATATGTCCAACTGAGTCCTGGGGAGCTGATGAGGCATTAAACAGAAATTAAAATTGGAAAAGCAAACAAAAATTAAAACCAAAAAACCAACAACAAAAAAAAAAAGAAACAAAAGAACCCTGACACAGGGAAGGGCTCAGACATTTAGCCCACATTTCTGTGACTGTGCCAGGTATTTTGTAGCAGTTTGATCAAGATACACAAAGAAGCACATTTTTTAACATCAAACTGGCAATGATACTTGGTATGTTTTTATTTTAATTTTACATTGATTTTTACATATGATTTGTTCTAAGAGTGAAATGAACAAAACTCACCTGAACTAGCACAAAATCTTTTCCAACTTCTCCTTTGAAGAATTCAGGATTAATTTAACAAGGTTCTGGTACATGGTCTGATTTTGAACTGTTGGGATGACGTTTATAATCATCTGCACACTCAAATTCAGTTTAGGACAACAGAGTGGTAGGATAGTTTCAAATACTACTAAAATTAGGACTAGATACGAAAATATACTCACTCAAAGGGAAGTCAGGGCTGGCAGACAAATGACTTTCATACAGCAACAGATAAGTTTGAAAACTATTTTAAAACCAGTAACGTCTTTAGGTGTACCTCATATTTCATTATTTTTCTTATTAAGCTGACCATATGTATGTCATGGAGGAACATACTAGTGATATTCTAATTTACCAACTCTATTTATAAGAGGAGATTTTAGGAGGTGTTTAGCCAGCTTTGAAAACATAAGGATTTGCAAGTCACTGCTACCACAACCGTGTTACTTATTTTTAACTTATTATTTAGGCCTGCATTTTCTGTTTGGAATTCCTCGCATCTCTATTTCATGTGCAGTATGAGCACTGTTGCTAACTTTAATCAATTTACAAAAATCAATTTACAAAGAGTGGCACTTTGGTTTCTGGAGCAATGTTTTAGCTTACAAGTTTAGAGGTAGGGCTCTGAATGCGGATCTCCAGTTCCCAGAAGCACACCCAGAGTATCAGTATCAGATATTTCACCATACCTGACACAGAGCAGCCTGAACATGGCTGCACAATGCAAGAGGCCCAGCCACAACACAGGCAGGGATTGTGAGCTCCCTGCAGAGTGCAGGGATGGTGAACGTAACCTGACCTGTCAGCAGCGCGGCAACTGCAGACAACAGCAAGGTGATGGTTCAAGGTCATGGCCAGGCCAGCAAGTCTGGTCAATATGTCAGCAACAGCAGCACAGAGCACAAAAGCAGGAGTAATTCCAGGGCAGCTTGGGCAAGGACCAAGGCTTCCAATGCTGTGCTCCAGGATCAGCATGCAGAGGAGGTAAGAGTGAGGGTGAAATGGAAATTTGGAGCTATTGGTCAGTCGAGCTCTTGGTGCTTCTGTCCCACACTCCGCTAGGTACTCACCACTTAAKGTTTTTCTCTCTGGACATGCAAATATGTTGTATGAAACAAATAAAAAAATTAATTTGTGGTTATATTTGCACCACACTACAGGTTGAGGGTCAAACCTGACAGTCATTTATGCTTTTGGCTACAAAGCTACAATCTGTAAACAGAGGTCAATTACAAACCTCTTGCCTCTGCCTATTTGATCTGTGGACCAGAGAGAATATGAACACATAGCCAAACAAGCTYAATCTCTGCTTGACTCTGTTCAAGAAAAATGTGTCTTGAACAAGCCAAAGTCCTCATGTTCAACAGTGTGCACTCAGTATAAACTTGCTAATGCTTTATTACTGGAAACCCAGGTGCAAAACACCWCCAAGACATGTTGTCAGTCCTGCAAGAAGCAGGACTGAAATGTCTGAAGGATTTTTTCATTGCCTAAGTATTTTCAGACTATGTGGCCAGACTGCTTATCACRGTATTAGTGAGGATCTGAATATCATTGTGGTCCTGTTAGCAACACTGTGCTATGCTGTCACAACTGGTGATAAAACAGCCCTGTTTGCMCAGCAAGGCAAAAGGGACAATTGCTCTGTTACAGACCAGTGCTGAGGCAGCACTTTTCACAAATTCGAGTTTTTTCACTAATGGTATGAGTATTTCCCCCACCCACAGATATGTAATGTTGACTCACTGACTGTTTTGCAAGACACAAAAAATATTAGTGTCAGTGATAACTGGTCTTCAGTCTTCACACAGGATGTATTGCTTTCCATCAAATTTTTAGTATGGCAAAGTCTGTACAGTGCCAGAAATGCTTCTAGAAATGACGATTTTGTGTGCTTCTTCACAGCCCACCGCACCTCCAGCAGTTGGGAAGGAGTGAGCAGGGCCTGGGGCCACAGGAAGCTATTCTGACACAGCCATATCACACATCCATCCAGGCTACAGAAGAACTAGAGGTGCTGACCACAAAAATCAGATTTTTTACCCAGTGTGCAACAAGCAAATAATTACACACTTGGGGAAGATATGGATTATTTATTTCAAAGCTGCACAAGCTGGTATTCCATGAATCAAGCACACTACCTACCAGAAATCCATAGTATTTATACGTTTTAGCAAACAAGTGCATTAATGCTCATCGGCTTCAAGACACATAGTTCTCTTATTAAGTAGCATTCGATCTTCTSTTGGTCGATGATTCTCTTACTTTCATGCTGATGAGTCCACATGCCTAGTCGTTCTCCTCTTTTGAGTCGGTGGGCAGCTTGGTCAGTAGTGTTGCCGGAAATTCCACCGACAAATTTTCTAACACCTGGACATCACTTTGAGATTGCTTCTTACCTTCTATCTGTTTTACGGAGTCAGTCTCCTTTCTTGTTGATTCGGCTTGAAAATCAAAATCAAACATTAAGGAACATCCTTAGCAAAACTTCACCACGTTGCCCCGGGTGCTGCAGACCGGAGATGCTCCCGGGAGCCACCGCCCGCGCGCAGCAGGCCCCGCCCCTTCCGCCCTGAGTGGCGGGGTCTCAGCCAATAGCAGAGCGCCTGGGGCTCGGAGGTGGGAGTTTGTCCGCTCGCGCCCAATCAGACGGCGGCAGTTCGGTGGGGGCGCGGCGTGAGCGGCGTCGCCAAAGCAGGAGCGCGGCGTCTCCAAGGGAGCGACACGGTGGGGCCGTGCGGAGGGGCGGTTCGTCCAGCGGTGGCAGCGGCACGATGAGCCTGGCCCTGAGGTCGGTATGAACCGGGTGCTTTCGCCCTTGCCCCKCTCGGGGCCCGAAGTGCGAGCGGGGGTCCCTCGGGGCCGCGCCGCCCYCGTTGGGAAGATGCTGGCGGAACGCGGGGCGCTTCGGACTGTGGCGGGGCCTGAGTCACCCGCGGCATCCAGCCGGTCATGTCTGATCCCTTCGGCCGGGATGCGGGTCAGTCCCGTCCGTCTGCCGTTGGAGGGAAGGGCCGGGCGAGTCTGGCCTTGTGAGGTTGGCTTCTAGGTTGCTTGATGTCCCTTCAAAAGATGTATGAATAGGCGTAAAGTTAGATTTCTAGGTTTTGTTTTGTTTATAAATACTGATTCAGTAGCTGTTGCATAAATGGGCCTAGCTTACGAATCCCAGGACCTGATAAATTTTTGTCTTCAAGCATAATTATTATGCTTACATAGCAACTGTGATGCTTAATTTTTAAGAACTTCACGCTTAATATGGTTAAAATAGTTGTAGAAGYGCCACCAAACTGCTTCTTTTTGAGTACTGCTTTGTCTTTTAATAAATTCATTTTATGCTAAGCACTAAATGAACACTTCTCTTTCAAGAGAGCTCGGTGTTAATCTGCTCTCAGACTTGTAAATGGATTTTTTCATTGCAGCTCACAAAATCTGGGCTCCCTGGATCTGAGCTACGCTCCCAGTCCTAATAAGTAGCCAGCTCAGAGTTATTTTAGTCCTTCCGAGAGCTGTAGTAATTCAAAGCCTGTGTGAAATCACACTGTCTCAGTTGGTCTGTTAAGGCCATCTTACTCTTTGGGGGTATTGGGGTTCGAAGCAGGTTCAACTTATGCAGCTTGCACTTTTCTTGTCTCTATTTGGGATTTTTGCTTCAGTGGTTTTTGAAAGCTAAATATAGATAGCATTTAACCTTAGGTTTTGATTAAARTTAACCAATTGTCAACAAAGAAGGACATAAAGTAGCTCATTAGAGGAGGTTKGGAAAGTTAATATTGAAAAGTTTTCTGTACACTCTGGTTATCTTTTACATTTTACACCAGGTGACACAGCATRCATTTTGCTTCTTGGTGCAAATGGGCAAATAAGCATAAAAAGCCTTTTCCTGAGAGCGTAACATTAATTATACAGACATTTATGTTAGAAAGGACTTACAGAAGTCACCTAATCCAATGTTCTGATTACAGCAGCTTCCATTCAAAGCTGGCTGACGATGCTAAGCACCTTTTATATTTATATTCCCAAAACGTCTGATGATGGAGTCTCCTTGGTCTCACAGTGGAATTGTTCCAGCATGTCACCACATGCGCTGGGAAAATGTCTCCTTAGATGCAGCTACAGTTTCTTCCCCAGCTGCAGTTTTTCCCTTATATTTTGTRGTTATTGTCTTTTGTCCTTTTACTATGCTCCTCTGAAAATACAACTTATGCCTAGACTAGCCAAAGAAAATGGGGTTGTCTTTGAGCAAGATTTGCTGATTTGGGGGCTTGTGTCTTTTGTATATACCAAAACAGAGCAAACAGTCTTTAGAACAGTGTGTGTGTGTGTGTGTGTGTGTGTGTGTGTGTGTGTGTGTGTGTGATCTAAAGGATTTTAAAAAAACACCCTGCAAATACCATTTATCTCTAAACTGTTACAGGCAACAAAGCCGATTTGTGGCACCTAATGCCAGCTTTAGTAGCTAGACTGTCTGGCCTAGTTTGGCCTCCATTGTCTCCAAATTTATTTTATTTTTTTAAGCTACAGTGTAGAAACCAACTGTTTTCATCAGCTTGTCCTGGTTTTACTCGGTCTGATTTTTGGTGGTGGGCGGATGGGACCAAGAAACCACAAAGATGGCTCCTGTGAAGAAGTTCTGGAAGCTTTCTCCTTCTCCAGCAAAAGGAGCCCTACCCCCTGTGTTTTAGAGCCAATCAATTATGGCTCTGAGGTTGATGGACAGGCTGCTGCTCAGGCCTGGGCCAGTTGCACAGGTTGGTTACACCTCTGTGATGACGTATGGTCTTGTACTTAAGAGGAATTCAAAACAAGATAGAGCGYGGCTGCCATTTAGTTTTTAGGTTGTTAGTATTTAGTTTTAGTATCATGCACTGGGGAAAAACAGAGCAGGAGGGTGAGGAGATGTAAGAAAAAAAATGGAGACCCAAGATCACAGTAAGCAGAAGACAGGTGCTGTTGCTGTGGTGCTCGGACATGGAGAAAACAAGRTGTTCTCAAAAGGACTATTTCTTCAATGAGAGACCTGTATAGAAAAGGAGAGCGACCTTTCTCTGAGGAAAAAAAAAAAACCTGGCCTTGGAGGACTGGACTGATTATAAGCTAAAAAGGGGGAAGAGGCTTGGCCCCCCCTCACGTCTGAAGCAAGTGGATGCTTAGAAAAAGCTGTGTTCTGCCAGGAGATTTGAGATAGTGGCCTTATGCTGCCAAAATAATGCAGTCGGCCTGGGTGAACTGTTTTCCTTTCTCCCACAAAGTAAAGAAAAGAATCCCATGCCATCAGCAGTTAAACACTGACTGTTTCTTGGGAAAACACCTTCCACAGCTTGGATCTGTAAGGACTCTTCTCCTTTGGTGCTGGAGGATAACCATAAGGAGTAGTTTGATCTATGTTAAAGCTTTCATCCCTGCCCCCTTTTGCATGCGGAAAGGCATGGGAGTTGGAAAGGAACGACCTGAGAAAGAGATGGGTCCCGGAAAGAATAACAGGTGTCTTAAAATGTCCGTTTTTATTTTCTTCTCCTTGTAAATTTTTCCCTATCTCTGTTCCCCTCTCTGGTGTGGTATATTACTACCTCTCTGGTAGTAATTATAGTAACTACTAAAAAATTAGTAGTTTTTAGTAATAAATCTATTTTGCAACTTAAGTTATTCAGCCTGTCTGATCATTTTCTGGAGCACATACCTATCTTTCTCTCAATTATGTTATGTTATCAAAAAGTCATAAATTTTAGTGTTAATTGGGCTTTTGCTCTCTCTTCTGCCTCTCCGGTGGGGGGGGTGGGGGGGAACATCGTTGGTGCGATGCTTTTGGCTTTCACCCCCCATTAAATTAGTTCAAACTGCAACAGCTGCATAATTTCAACTGCTAATCTAGTTTGTAACTTGGAGAAGCTTTTTAACTGGTAGTTTTTCTGCCCTCTCTTTTTGTTGTTGTTAACAAAAAAGTCTGCACTGATTTTGTTTTGGGTGGGGGACTGGAAGTGTCATTCAGATTTCACAAGGGAATTGTCTACTTCAAATGTTATTTTAAGCCGGGAGAATATTGCCTAGGTAAGATTGTGATTTCTGCAGTTATGGTGAGTTTCYTATTGGTGGAGAATATTATCTATAGTGACATTTTCCCAATAGAAATCTTATTATGCTACATTTTTTTGTCCTTATATAGGAATGAACTCTCAGTAGACAAAACTAAAAAGAAGAAAAGAAGAGAACTGACTGAGGAACAGAAGCAAGAAATCAAAGATGCCTTTGAATTGTTTGATACAGACAGAGATAGAGCAATAAATTATCATGAATTAAAGGTAAAGAGTTTTTTCTTTCATTTAAGCAGTTTTATATCAGGAAACTTATCTGTTCCATAGTGCATTCTTAATATGTTGGCTATATCTTTATAAGCTTCCTTCAAGATGTCTTTCTGGGTTAAAGGAGTGGGGGGAAAATAAAAAAGAAAAAACAGAAAGTATTCCATTGGCGTAAGAATAAACTTTTCTTCCCACACCATATACTTAATGCAGTAATAGAATTGCTTTAGCATTGTAAATAGCCTTGCTGTAATTGCCCACCAGGGATTTTGGACAGATGACCAAGTGGGAAAAGTTCTTGACAAGCTGTTTGCTTATTTTTAAAGACACTGTATAACCTTAAACTTGATCTTGCTTTCAGATGTGTAGGTAGATGAAGTAAATCAGATTAGTAAAACTGGTGGCTACAAGCCAGAGTATATCTGTATTTTGCAACAGGAAACCTATGATTTGTAGAGGTAAGATGTGTGTGCTCTTCGCTCTGTATGGGAGGCTCAGTAGTTGYCCTTCCCAAAAAGAGATGTTCCTAATATTAGCTATTAGCAGATGGAGGTTAGGATGTCATTCTGAGAGAGTCCTCCCACCTGAGGACAGAGTGGTAAATGAAGTTCACTGAAGACACTTTAAATCTTTCATGTGTTTTTATTCTAATTATGGCATTGAGAACAAAAAGTGGCTTTGAAGAGGGCAGTGTTTCAGTCACATGTAGGGTGAGATTTATTTTTTTTTTTTAAGAATGCCTAATTCAGTGTACTGGTTTTACATTCTGGCTCTAACAAGTAACTTGAAGAAGGAAAAGGTTTTACTTTATTTGCTGTTACAGGAGTGTGTGTGGTAGAACAATTCCGTTATCTTTATTTCAGAGTTCAGGTATTTTATCTTTTCAGAAGCTGCTGTGACTATAGTTATGCTGGGGACTGTTTTGGAGCTGTTAATATGCTTTTCCTGGTTATGTTATGCTTTGSATTCCCAGCTGTCGTGATTATTTGCAAAGCTCTTTCTTAGCTGTCTAATCAAATATTGTCACCCTGAAGCTAATGCTGTGAAAGAGCAGAAATACATAAAGAAAAAAGCTATCTACCTCCTCTACAAAACCAGCATATGGCATCCATTTTTTAATAACTGCTTCTATGACTTTCCTGTATTGATGTTCAGAGGAGGTTAAGGTAGTATGTGATGAGAAATTGCCATCTTAGGTGAAATGGGAAACTAAATGTGGACTCCTCACCTAATGGAAAATATAAGTTGGCTTCTGTGGCTCACTGGAAAAGCAATTCAAAGTCTTATAGGACTTCTAAATCCATGAATATACGCACTCTTTGTATGAATAATGAGGAATAATTAGCAGAATGATTTTCAGTTTTGTCTTAGGAAGCATAAGATTTGAAGTGGTTTTGGAAGTGAGGAATAAATTTACTTGTCCTACGATGCATTTGGTCCAATCTGTAAAATCCCTGAAAAGGTAAAGGCTATCCTTGCTCTAGAATTGTAACTAGATGTTCCATTTCCTGATAGTTGTTCTGCATGGTTTTAATATCCAAAGCTCTTTTCCTTTTATTCATTATATTTATTACTGTTACTAAACCACTGATAGCTTTTTCTGTTTTGGGCAAGAAGGTAGTTACTGAAATTAAAAAGAAAATATGTTAAATCTGTATTTTGATCCTTTTCTATGGTTGCACTTCTTATTTATTCCAAAAGGTGGCAATGAGAGCCTTGGGTTTTGATGTTAAAAAAGCTGATGTCCTGAGAATACTTAAAGATTATGATCGAGAATCAACAGGCAAGATCACCTTTGAAGATTTTAATGAAGTTGGTATGTGTTTGATTGCGTGTCTACATCTAGAGATATTTAGCCTATAGTAGTGCCTACAGTTTCATAGCGATACTTCGTGGACTTCTTCGGTTTATTTAGTACTTTTAAGAAATAGAAGTGGGAGATTTCATTTTGTATTTCTTAATATATTAGGCCAATAGTAAAGGAAGATAAATATTTGTTTTTTGAATGCTTAGTTTGATATGTAGAGGTGAATTATAGCTACAGTATAAAAGGAAGTAGGCTACACACAGTATCTTTCAACCTTAAACAGAGGAATAAATGCTACTTTAAAGTGTGGATGTTCTTGTCTTGTTTATGGATCTTTGTAAGATTCTTCGTCCTGCTATGAAAAAGTGTTTGGCATTGAATTTCATGGGAAGGAGTGCATACACAGAGAAAGTGTAAGCTGACCAATCTTAATATATAAAAAAGGTTAGAGAAATTGAAGGAGATTTTAAATGTACTTAAAGGATTTTGAACTGTTGATAAAACCAGTAGATTTAGTTGTTTCTTTCATCTGAAGTTAGTGTATTGTGCAATTTAATGTACTTTGACTATGCAGTGATCTTCAGAATTTTTAGACTTTAAGTTTCTTTGAAGATTTTAGGGGATTTTTATTACACATAATTTGTGCTTTTGCATACAATTTATGTTTACTAAAAAATAAGTAGTGTGGGATTTCTCCATGTATGGCTTTATATCACTAGTTTATGATTCCATTATAGTTCATTATGCTCATGATAGTCCATTTCTTCAAGGTATTAGATTTCTGTAGATTTTATGATACAAAACACCAAACCCCAGTACTTGCTCTTGGCTGCAAATATCGATCTACTTAATGTATTAAAGCACTTAYTAATTGAAGTGTGGCAATATTGAATTGTTCAATAGGTTAATACTGGACAAAATGTCTTGTTCATGACAGATAATATTTTTGCAGTTTTATTCCAGGTTAGAGAACATTATTCTCTTCTGATTCATAAAGCCTGTATGGAAGTATTGAAAAGAAAATGAGTGTGGCTATTTGATAGCAATGCTACCCTTAAAAATACATCATTATGCTGTAATATTGCATAAATGTATGTAAATACCATGCAATTATGTTTTTAGATTGCCGATGTTCAGTCCTGTTCATTGTTTCCTTATTCTGTCTTGGTTATCAATATGGACAGTCATTAAGTGCTGCAAGAAGCTAGGAAAGTTTTTGTAGAAAGCAYCATATATACTTGGAAGGGGATTGAACCTGTCACAGAATGTGAATTGCATTAAAGCACTGCTGTGATGCAATATGACCTTGACACAGAATTAAACATGATACCACTTTTAGCAGAAGGACTGGGATGTTAGGTAAAACAGGTTATTGAGACATTAATTGTGAAGAGATGCTGAATATAGCTAAGCAATTCTTGAGCTATCCATTTCTCTTAATTTGGTATTCAGTGGAAATATATAAAGATGTAAATATATTTTGTCTTCTACAGTTCCATATTTAAAGACATTTTATTGTTTTTCAGTTGTCTTTTTGCCACAAAGGGTAGCATTTTTCAAATGATGTAATGCTGTCATGCAGCACTGTTGTTTTAAAAGAAAATAGATAAATTCAGGGTAAATCTGCAGATATATAAGCTTCATCCCTGTAGCTGGCTTATATARGCATGAAAAGATTCTTTTCTCACAAGTTTGCTAAGCCAGAGCAGACATTCCATCTGCAACCAGTAACAGATGGTAAGTGGTTCTTTATGTAGAAGCGGTGTTGWTGTGATTTTAATGGCTTGATAATACAAGACTAGCCCTGTAATACTAGGCTAGCAGGTACAAAATGTGGAGATAGATTATTGTTGGTTGGTCTGAAGTAATTACCAGAAAATATTTCATGAGGCAAATTTGTCTTTTCTTTTGCAGAAACTGACAAGTGATTGCCATAAAAAAAATAATAAATGCTAAAGAAACCTTTCAGAATAAACATCTTGCAATTCCTGGCAGCATCCTTTTTATAGACCCTATGCTTAGGCTTTTTTTCGTTTTGGGGTTGGGGGGCCAGTGTATATGATTGRTTGGTTGATTATGGGGGCTTCTTGTGTTAGTGTGGTTTTGAATTTAAAAGTGATGTTCCATGTGAATGTTTTTCTTCACTTACGGTTTCAGTCTTCTACCCATCTCAAAATTCTATCCTGATGAAGACAAAGTAAAGAAAGATCACMTCTTCATCTGGAAGAAATGATGGTATTTTTTCTGAAAATTTAGGATTTTGAAACAGAGGCATCCTGTGCCTCTTGTTGGAAATTCTTGTTGGAAAATATGTGGAAAGTGTGACCGTGTCAAAATTGCCAAACAGCTTTCCACTSCAACTGTTATATCACAAAGAGCAACTCAGCTTGGGAAAAGAGAGTTGAGAGAGTGGTCGGACAACAAATATGCTGGTTGAACTGAAATACAGGAAAGTAAGAACAGGTGAAATTAGATGTGTGTTCTTCATAGTGTTTTAGTTTGCCAAGTTCATTCTGAGTTTACCCTTCAAAATATTTTAGTCTGACTTAAGTATCCTTTTTGCAGTGACAGATTGGATATTGGACAGAGACCCACAAGAAGAAATACTCAAGGCATTCAAATTGTTTGATGATGATGACTCTGGTAAAATAAGTCTCAGAAACCTGCGCCGAGTTGCTAGAGAACTGGGTGAAAATATGTCTGATGAAGAGCTACGGGCTATGATTGAAGAATTTGATAAGGATGGAGATGGAGAAAGTATGTGTTGGCAAATAAAATACCGTAAAATCTTGTTCTTAATTTTATCCCCTTTTTAGGTGGTATTTTGTTGTGGAAATATCCTCTTTAATTTCCTTATAGATTACTTTCATCTCAAACATATTTGCCTTACAAATAATGCAKACTGTTAGTTTTGATAGCTACTAGTCCTGGAATCTAAAAATCAAGTTGATTCACCACCAAATCTTACCCAACTAATGTCTGTTAAAAAGAGTGAAAGTGTACCTGAAGGTGGAAGTAATTGAAATGGTACATGAGAGATTCTGTGTACCTACATTACATTTTATTTCCTTATAAATCAATAAAAGTGCTGAGAGGAAGTCTTTTGATCACTTATTCAATATTTCTTAAGTGGCAATGTGTCGCTGTTGCGATTTCAGCATTGGATATGGAGCATTAAGCTAATAAATCATGCTGTAAGTGCCCTGGGTCTATGCAGTATCGGATGGGTCTTTAGCATACTTCTGAGCCTTGGAGTGCTGAAAAGCATAGCGTGAAAAATAGCTCTGTGCAATTGACAAGGTTCATACAGTGTACACTGCAGAATGGATTTACTAGGTAGATAAAAAATGAATTAGCAAATCCAGTTTGATAATACACTTATTAAATCATTGTGAATACTAAATTAAGAGTTTTTTCAATAATTTCAAAATACCTTATCTTTACATCAGAAATCTTAATATCTGAATTTCGAGGACCACTCACTTGATGCAGTAAAGACTGTCTAGGTCCATCAAACACCATTCTTTCAGGGTGGTGACTCATATCTGAGATTTCACTAGCAATTWTCATTTTTTCCAATGACAATGGTATTTATGCTTGTGAGCGTTTGTTGGGCTCAAAATTCTCACTAGTAGAAAAATTGTGTTGTCAGCCTTTCTGCTGTTTGACATAGGTGTTATTTTTTGGAAGCTGTAGCTGTAGAGGTAGAATTCTATCTGCAAACATGTTGTGTCATGTGTTAATCTCCTAGAGCTTCCAAATGAGATGTGAGAATCATGGATCAATGTTCTTTTGTCACATGGCTGTTTGGGTACTACAAATGGAACATAGACCATTAGCTCCTTTCCGGAGGGTTATGGAGCCGTAACTATTTTGTGTCAATGTTACATTTTAAAAAATCAAAAGGATCAGCTGAGACTAAGTGGGTCAGTTTCCTCTTGTTTAGTCATCCATTTATTGTCTTTCTTAGACCAATCAAGCACAAGATTGAATGTGGAAGATTAACAGCATGTTTGTATATACTACTCTTTTTCCTTGAAGTTCTGTATGGTTTTTGTTCTTTAAAGAAAACTGAAGCTGTTCCTAGCTTTTTAAGATAGGAATGTTCTCTTCAAACATCTGGGTCATGCTACAAAATCTTCCTGTCATCTAATTTTCCTTTTCCTGCCCTCAAAGAAGTCTGCCCTCAAATCTGAAACTGTTAATTGTTAGCATTTTTAATTGATATGTCAAATACAGGAATAATACCACTTTTGGTTTAACACCTTTATTATATTTGAGATACTGTTTTGCTCAATGTGAAATCCTGTGTGATATTTAGGTTACATGAGCCCTTATGTTCTCAGCAAAACTACTGAGATCTTCTGGTAGGCTTTACATAGATTTCTGTAAAACAAAGTATAATTGACTTTTTTTTTTGYCTGCCTTAAAATGTAAATAGTCTTAGTTTGGTATTCCTGGGTTTAGGAATTTCTTTTGGTTTGGAGCACAACTAACTTTGGAAACTTTGTGGTGTCAGTTTTGATCATGTGTGGATGCATCTGTAGGAAACACTATCCAGTCTTGTGTCTTGGATTTTGGCACAGAATTAAGAAAAATATCCAAACCCACCACTAAAAAACTGTGCCTTTAACTCTCAGGATTCTAAGTCAGTGTTTTCTTTATCTTAGCTGTGATTCTAGTTTACTCTTCTATGATCACTTATGTAATGGAGTTGAGGGAAATCTGATGCCATGAAAAACTGTGCTTCTGCTTTCATGTGCTTAATTTGTGAACAGGTCTTACATCTGAAGAGGATTAACAGGGATTACTTTAGTTACTGGGAATGAACTGCACTGCTTTTTGAAGTTTCTTTGAATGTTCTAGAACTTGTTTGTAGTTACAGTGTTGTATTTCCACTTTGCAGCATGGTTTAACAAGGGTGTTGTAAACTGGAGTCTGTTTTGGAGAGGATGTTTGAATTTGTGTTGCTGCTGTGATAAAGCTGTGGAAATGCTTTTTAAAGCGATACAGTCACAGTATTTTTGTGTCTTGGAACAAGGTGTAGCTGTGTGATGGACTGGTATTTCAGAGCGTAGGGCCCTAAGCTAGACTAAATCTAATTGTTTCATATTTTTTGCATGCATCACAGCAGGGCATATTTGGGTTTTTAATTTTTTTTTTATTCTTTAGCATGGTTGAATTTATTCATTTTTTTTCTAGCTGTAAATGTAGAGCTTTGTAATGCTTTGTTCAGGAGTACGTTGGGCATGTTGRCTGGGATGGATAATTGTTGGGGAGAATTCTTCATATGTGTCTTGTCTTTTTCATACCACTGATTTACTCTAATCACTCCCRACTACGGTAATTAGTTGCATTCATGTGAACATGTCCATTGGTTAACTCTTTTACAGTGGCTATGTTTTAATATATGGGTAAGGTCATTACCTCAGATATTACTGAAGCAAAATAATTAATGACTGCTAAATAATTTACTATTATGACTTAATTTCTTCAAGTGCATTTGTGTAAAATTTCTGTTAATTATAAATGAAGAATGGAGAAAGTTCAGATGGGGAAAGGCTCATCAAAAGTCCATTTTAATTCTAGCTAATTTATGGAATAATTGCAAAATTGTCTTAAAACTTGTTTTGTGTTTGGTAAATGTTACACGTTAGGGAGAGAGGAATAGCATGGTTCAATCTGTGGTGATGGTTTAGATGTAAATATTTTGAATTATGATTTTAAGAATAAAACTGAATTCAGTAATAACTAGCTGAGTTACTATTGCTTGAGAAATGCTTCTTTAATAAAATTTAGATACCATCTTTAACATTTTTATAGACCGTTAAAATAATAATAATAATGTATTATGTTTTTGCATTGCCGTCTTTTTTACGTGTCTCAGTTTGTTTTTTTTCTATCATGTTTTACTTGTAGAATATTTTTACTTTCATAATTAGAAATAAGTGGTTATAAGTTATCTAGTTTCTGGTTTCAGTATTCSACATAATAAAACTTGCATTCTGAGTTCATGTTACATGAAAAAAACTGTACAAAACCCCTGTTGTAGAAGCAAATTTGTACACATTTACAGTAATGGGTCAGATGCAACAAATAATAATAGAAAAGCCTTTAAGTAAAGCACAGATAATGCATTTTATTTTATGGTTTGTTATTGTTTACTGTTTGTGTAACTAATTTCTTTTTTTTTTTTCAGTCAATCAAGAAGAATTTATTGCTATTATGACTGGAGATATTTAACATGAGAACAAAAGAAATTAACTCAGCACAAAAGGAGGAGTTGTTGGAGGTTCCATTACAATGTTTTGTACTTTCATTCATTTCAGGAGCTGGAGTGATGCCAAAAGTTACCTTTGTCACTGGACCAAAATAAAAATGGGTTACATACACTGATAATTCAGTACTTTGTATCATTAAATATTATCACTGGAATCATTGATAGTTTATTTTAGAACAAGTAAGTAATGCTGCATTTCAGAATGTTTGAGTAATTGTTTGTAAAATAGCCTTATTGCAGATTTCTAAATTGTATYATATTATAAGAGCTTCTTGATTTGAGGTTCTTGATTTTGTGTTAGCATTAGCTGTGGCCTTAGTTTTGATACATAAGGTTTGAAAAACTTGCATTTTAATAAAGTGTTCTTTACTACTATTATTACTACTTGAAAGTCTTATTTTTCTAGTTCAATCTGAGCTGAACTTGAAGGGACAGCGATTCTGAGAATTTTTTTTTTTTCTTTTTTCATTTATAAGCTTTTATTTCTGCTCTATTACATGAATCACACATTAAATGAGCAAGCATTTTTATCTTCAAAGATGCCATTTATTAACTCTCTGTTACCCCTTGTTGTGGGTTACGGTTTCTCCTTCTGTTTCCTTTCTTGGGCAATTCTCTTTCCCCTTTTGTTGTTGGGGTACACTAATTGCCAAGTCATTCTTTTGATGGCTGGGCGATTAGGGAAGACAGAAGAACCTACACCCCACCTGAAGGGTCTCCCTGGGCACTGCTCCTGCCTGGCACGTTTTTTTTCCCCTCTCTTTGGAGAGAGGGAAAACTCGAGGGAGTTTTGGGCTGAGGAAGGGCGTGTGTATGTGTGTGAGGCGGGGGGCGGAAGTTCGTTTCCTGCCCTGCTTGGCTTGGGGGAGGATAGTGGACCTGCTGCTGCAGAACCCAGCATCYTTGTCATCGGTTCCTGTTTCCTGCACTGTGATCTTCTGCCCCGTGCCTTGCCTGCGACCCCTGGGATTCCAGCTGCAGTGGTTGAATTCTGCTGCATCCCGTCTACAGCCAYGGGATTCTGCTTGTCTTTTTGCCCATCTGGCCATATTGAGGTTTTTTGCTATCCAGAGGAGCACTGAGATGGGCATTTTCCCCGCTGTGAGTTTGCAGAGGAACTCTTTTGTCTCCGTCCACCTCTGCCAGTTTGTGCCCGTCCTTGGCCACGTGGGAGATCTGAGCCAGCYGGGACCCGCGCCACAGCGCCCCCTGCAGCCGCCGGGGAGTCATCGCACCCGCTCTGCCCGGCCGGGAGCCAACAGCGCCCCTGCTGACTGGAACTGGAACTGCACCAAAGGGGAGGGTGTGTCTGTGTGTGAAACTTTCATTTGGTTTATGTCTGGCTTGGTTGTTGCTGTCGTTGTTACTTGTTTCACCTTGTTATACATATTAGTAAATCTGTTATTCCCTTTTACCCATATTCCTGCCWGAAAGCCCGTGATTTTCAAAGCTCTAATAATTTGGAGGGAAGGGGGGTCATATCCACCACTCCAAGGGGGGTCCCTGCCTTCATTAGCAAGMACCTGACATTCAAACCAAGACACCCCTGTATGATAACAAATGGCATGAAGCTATGCATSATGATGAACTGTGTCCAAAACATGCTTGAATTGCTCTGATGTCAGTCAGCAACTCTCCAGTATCCACAATTCTCACAGCTGCGGAGACAAACTTCCTGCAGGCCAAGTATTATGCTGTAGAATCTAATAGCGAAAACACCTCACACGAAATATGAAACATATTTTAAAAATCCATTAAAAAACCTTCAACAAACCCTACAACTTCTAACCAGTATTTTGCAATCTTAGATTTGTTTGGGAGGTAAATGTTCAGGGGAAAAGATTTGGGACTGAGTATTTGGGACTGAGCCTTAACCTAGAAATGAAACAACACACTTTCRAGATGTTATTAATGTAGGAGATAATAAAAAAGGCTGGTCTTTATCAGAGGCCTTCAAGGGGCAGATATGAAAATGCCCAAATGCCCCCCTGCATGTGATGAATACAGTTTTATAAGTTTAGCAAATTAGCATAACTGACAAAAATGTAGTTAGAGACAAATGATGAGGTAATTCCCCCCACCCTCCCCTGTTCAACCTCTAAATCCTTCCCCCTCTAAATCCTTCCCCCTCAGATAGGAACTAAATGTTGTTTGTGAAAATGTGTCTTGAAGAGCCAAGTTTCAACCTTGGTTCCCAGGAATAACCAAGATATGGTAAAGGCCTTGTATCTTCTGGGGSCCTGGATCCTCTGGGATGTGTTTTGTCTTTCTGCCTGTCAGGGTGGAGAAAAGTACTAAGGCTAGCTAGGAACTATAAAACCATTCAACAATAGAGCTACAAATATCTATATTAAGAAAATATAAAAGCAAAAATCATTCTGGCATCAGCCTTTGGATGGCTCTTCACAAGTATTTTCTAGGATCAATATGAGAATTATCCAGTAGCATTAGGCTTTGCTTTTAATTTCTTTTCAGGGATACTTTTAGTTTTGGCAATCAAAGTAATAAGAGAACTGGAAAGGTCTGTTAATAGTCTTCAAAAAAACCTTTTCGTCAAGATCTCTGCCTCCGAATGCACGAAGCGTTCAAACATGCTGCAGTGGCCTTTATGCCGATGTCACCATCTCTGTATATGGCTGGTTGTTTCTTGATGGGTGACCACTTACTGTTTGTAACCCTTCCAGTAAGATGTACTTTGTATCTTTTGGATTGACGCCTTATTTCCAGCTTTTGCAATGTACCTGGTAAACCGTACTTTATTGCAGAAATGGCAGCATTTTAACATAAACCTGGGRTGGTGGCTGGTGTGGTCTGATCTCTCTGTGTGTACCAGAAGTGTCCCTGCAGTCTTTGGGGATCACTCTGGCCAGCACTTCTTTGGTGCTGTGCAGTAAGAATTCCCCAACACCCTTGCTGGTAAAAGGCTAGCACACTCACCCAGTAACCTTGTAACTCATACACTACTGSAGACAAAGAACCGGAGGGCTTGTCCACGTGGATCTTCCAGAAGTTTATTTCCAGAGGAGATCCAGAGGTGAAGAGAGAGAGGTAGRTTCTCTGCCCCMAGATATACAGCTGTGGGGCCAGTCACCTGACTGGACAGGATAGAGAGAGAGGGCAAAGGGGATACAATGACCAATGGGAGAAGGGATGGGTAGAGTGAGGGACCAGATGARGTCCAACAGGGGTAGGAGGATTTACATATTCTTGGAAGGAACCATCTAATTCTCCAGAGAGTTGTCGAGGTCTTTCCACCATTGAGTTCCAGCTGTCTCAGGGCCATTCGGCCTCTCAGCAGTCCCTGGGATGGTCTCATCCACCACGACAGCTTTTGTTAAGGACCAGGTAGCAATAATACAAGACTGCCAACAATACAACACAGGCCAGTTACCCAGACAAAGGTCTTGTAAGTCACTCAGACTGTGGATATGACACAGAAAAAAGGAAAAAGAAACAATCAGAATAGTGATTCTGTCTCAATTTTTGGTTTTACCTTTTTTCTTCATTTCATTGTTCTGGAGATTTTTGAAATCCATGCTTGTTCTGYGCTGCTGACTGATGATCTTGCAGTTTTGTTTATTGGGGTTGTTGTCATTCCTGCTGACTTTTCTTGATATTCACCACCTCACAATAATGGTGACAGATCAGAGACCGCAGCTTGGTAAAATCTAAGCTCTGAACTTGCAACTGCTTGGTATCATAGGAGATTATGTGTGGTGATTAAGCCATGAAGCAGAATGTGAAGAAATCCTTCAAATTTTAAATCCTTGTCCTAAGAACATTTTACAGGCTATTTACAATTCTGGGATATTCCAGAGTAAACTTTGTTAACAGAGGTTCTTATCATGAATTGCTCAAGAACAAGGAATAAGGACACTTGCAGTAAATCCATTTGCCCCATAGATGGGCTTGTGGTTGCTCATAACCCCTCGTATAGCTGAAGGGTTTTTTGTGGACTCATATCTGATGGATGTACTGCTGATGTAAGCAACTTTTTATTTTGGTTGAGCTGGATCCTACTGTTAAGCAGTAAGTGGCTGTGACTCCAACCTGCCTTGGTGTATGAGGAACCTTATTGAAGCAAGAGCTGCATTTGCTTCGACTTTTCWTCAAGTCAGTAGTTTGTAGAAGTTACCAACTGGCACTAGGAAATCTTTCATAGAACTCATTTTCTGTAGTTACCACAGAAGTAAGTCTGTAAGGATGCTTACAATGTTCCCATGCTTGAGTAATGAAAGAAAAATGATTCTGCAGATGGAAAGAGAGGTCAGTATTTGTGGTGCTACTCTAAGGTACACCATGGGAAGTATCTGGACAAATCCATTCAGACACTCATACTACAATGTTACACACATTAGCAGAAAATCAGTAGAATCATAATGTACTTCTAGAGAATCTGCAATTGTCTTAATTTTTGATAGCACAAATGGTACATCTACTGTAAATATGTTGCTAAGCAAACTGAACACATTGGCAATTACCAGCAGTCAGAAGTGATAGCTCTCAGAATACATAATAAGTGGGAAATTTCCATATATGGGTCTTTTTGAAAYGGCATATGAGTGTATCAGTGGTGGAGGTTGTATTTTCCACTTTTTAGCCCTTAATATTTTGAAAACTGCTTATAAAAGAGTATGTAAACTAATTTCAAAGAAAGAAATTAATTTAAGGGAATAATTACTTTAAAATATTCCTCTTAAAGGAATAAAGAAGGGGCTTAGCAGGAAAGGCCTGCTTTTCTAAGAGAGATCCATTTAGACTAGAAATGCAGACAACACTTTAAAGTTTGTCCAGAATGTTTAGCAGAAATGCATGTTATAATGCCTGGATAATTTTTTTTAATTGCACAGTGTAATTACAAAGGCTTTATTTTAATTACAGTTTAATGAAATGAACTTTGAAAAGGTCTTGTTTAGTTTGATTTTCTGGTTGTTGGGATTTTACAAATAGATCTATTTCAAACCACTTGTAAAGGGGTTAAACACACCTCTCTCCACCCACTCCCAAACAGCCAATTTGTGCTCCTCTGGTTAGTGAAAGGCAGTGCAATACAGCAGAGGTCAAAACTAGAGTAACATGCTGTACCTAAAAACAAGAGTGGTAAAATGTCTGTATGGTA